CCTTGTTTTTAACATGTTCTGTAAGTGTCAAATTTTCTAAGCCCTCTTTCTTTCTGATGTTAAGTACAACATTTCTGTATGTTTCTGTTTTTTCTAAAATTTTATTGTTAACTGTTACTGTAGCTATTCACTTAGTTCATCTGTCAACTGAATTAGTTTATCAATCATGATTCTTTTGGTTTCATCTTTATCCTCCTTGTCACTATGATTGCTGGGGTCAAGTTTTTTTTTTTCAACTCTCCCGCCTCTGCTTGCATCAATAGTGATCAGTATTTACACCTGAAACCACTACAGACACTTGCACTTTGTTTAGAAGCCATATACAAGTAGAATATGCTAGGATTTATGCAAAATCAATGGAGCTGTAACAATCCCACCAGTCTAAATAATTAAGTGATTGCATGCCACATACATCGCCATCTGTGGCCATTTAGTGGTATTAGTCTGATATTTGTATGAAATTCAAATATTTGCACATAATTTTGTTAAGTTTAAATGAAGTAAAAGCAGTTACTGAATATATATATATATATATATATATATATATATATATATATATAAGGTGTTTCATTAAGACAAATCAAAGTCAGAAGTAAATAAATCAGTGTTATTGGTGAAAATTTATTTATTTCTCTATTGGATCATGTTATTTAAGTCATGACAAAAGTGAAACATATTACATTGATGCTTCCTATCTTATTCATTTTATATATATATATATATATATAAAAGGATGTTCAATAACTTGGACCAATTTTAAATGTGAATTAAATGATTTTTCTTTTTTTTTTCAGATTTGGCGGACATTTGAAAATAATATGACTCAAATGTCCGTCAAATCTGAAAAAAAAAGAAAAAATCATTTAATTCACATTTAAAATTGGTCCAAGTTATTGGAACATCCTTTATATATATATATATATATATATATAAAATGAATAAGATAGGAAGCATCAATGTAATATGTTTCACTTTTATTAAAGCTTCATCAGAGTATTAGATATAGAGAAAAACAAGAAAGAAATTCTAGTATTTCTATTTTTGTGTTGCTTGATTTTTATTGGTTAATCAATGTGCATTTGTTAAACAAATGTTAGTATAATTTATGGTGTTCCAAATACAAGGAAAGATGACTCATCCTTTTCAACTTCCACAAAATCAATGGATTCTAAACCTAACTGATTATACACACTTACGAATATACATTATCATTTGAATCCCATATAGACAAACTAGAATTATTATACACTTACATACAAAACATAATATTTATGGTTTTTCAGTGAGACTTAGAATCTGTTGATTTCTTAGATAGCAGATATTACGAAGTTAGTAGGTAACTTTTTTTTTTTGTTTTTCTCTAGTTTATTGTCATTGCTATTATTGTTAATTATGTTATTATCTTTTTAGCAGTTGTATTTTTTTATGCCTTTCTTTTAACATTGTGAATGAAATAATAAGTATATTGGATTTTTTTGAAAGTGTTCGCTATGTATATTTCTTCTTCAGGTAAGTATTGGGGGCTGCAGATTGTTAGTGTTCTTAAATAGAATCCTATAATTATTCCAGATTTTATCCTGTTACAGTGGTGGCAATAAAAATTGATAAGGTCATTCTTGTTGGTAGATTTTCTATAAACCTCCAACTGAAGGTCCATATTAGTACTATGTAGCATGATATCTAGGAAGGGTAAAGTTGTTAAACTTAGATTCAAAGGTAAAATCTATTGTGGGTTCAATGTTATTAATTTTGTTGACAAGATGGGGTAAAACTGTCTTATGGACATATTAATAGAGAATCATCTATGTATCTAAAATAAGGATCTTGTGGTAAAATATTTATGAAAGAACCACTTTTCAGAAACTTCAAAAATAGACTAAGAGGAGATCCCATTGGTAAACCAAATTTTTGTCTATAAAAATTGTTATTGAAGGTGAAAAACATAAGTGATCAAATGTTACATTTTTATGATTTTATCTGTAAGAATAGTTAATTTTATTTTTGTTAACTGTGGTTTTAGTAAATTTAGGTATTTCTTTACAGGAACATTTGTATATAAAGACTTTATATCTAAACTAGTTATATATTGCTTTTTGATGTCTATGTTTTTTAATTTATTTAAAAGATCACCAGAGTTGTTTATATGTGAGATGATAATTGCAGCAAGAAGTGGGGTTAAAATTTTGTCAAGGGTGCTGGTTAGTTTATGTGGTGGTAATACTTATTCCTGATATAATGGGTCTCATCGGGATATCTGGTTTATGTTTTTTTTCAGGTGATGTTCAGGAACTGATTTCATTTCTTAATATTTTTTTTGATTTGTTCTTAAATTTTTGTGTCTCTTTTATAACCTTGTGTTTGTTTATTTTTTCATAAATATTATTACTGGATTTTAAAAAAAACATCTCCATTCCTGAAAGAATTACTCCTTACCCAAGTCAACATATATGACTAGACAAATGTTAGTAAATTTAAAGAAAACAGTTAAATTCATAAACTCTTTTTATTTAAAATAGATAATAAATTATTTCCAAAATAAAATAATTTATATATTATGTTATGAATAATCAAGAATTGTCTTCCCTTGTTTCATTACTCTTCTCTTTGAGAGAGATATTTCTGTTTACTGGGACTATAAAAGGATACTATACACAAACCTTGTATTCTCAGTTGAATAAATCTTTCTTAAAGCCTACACCTGCATACTTTTGTCATTAAACTTGGTTCAAGAATAAGTAAATATCAGTCATTTATGTTTGAGTCCATAAGCGTTTCCTTGGTGTTATTAATAATCAAGAGTGGTCTCCCCTTGTTTTGTTACTCTCCTCTTTGAAAGGGCTATTTCTGTTTACTGGGACTATAAAAGAACACTATGTGCGAACCTTGTATTCTCAGTTGAATAAAGCTTTCTTAAAGCCTACACCTGTGTAGTTTTGTCATTACATTTTATTCAACTGAGAATATCTCCATCATGGAACAATTAATGTGCCCACAGCAGTTCAATATAGAACCTGATACTACAGACACTGAAAAGTGTTGGATGCGTTGGCGAGTGACATTCAACAACTTCTTACAAGCAGTACATGCAGAAACCCCACATTGGCCACTGAACAAGCTTGAACTCTTAATTAATTATATATCCCACACAGTACATGAAATAATCCTAGATTGTCCCACTTATGAGGAGGCTATGGACATACTACAAGCTACTTACCGGAAACCAAAGAATGAAATCTCGCAACATAAACTGGCTACCTGACGCCAACTAAATGGTGAATCGCTGGAACAGTACTTAAAAGAATTAAGAATGCTAAGCAAGGACTGTAACTTCTGGCCAATGAATGCCGAAGCCTACACCTGCATACTTTTGTCATTACTTATTAATTGTAAAAGAAAAAAAATCAATAACATCATTTACTCACTTTCATTTATTAGACATTAAATTATGTCACTTAGCATCTTCTGTAGTTTACCTTGACTTTTCAGTTTAATTTTATGAATAGTTATGTGCATCTCTTAAATTCAAACATTTTGAAAAACTAACATTTTTACTTTTGGTTATAAATGTGTTATGAAAACTTACCTATAATGATAATGGACTCTTCCTGACACTATAAATACTGCGCCTCTCAAGAGGTATAATGAATGAATAGTGTAATGAGTCGAGACAATATTAGTTGACTCTAAACCAGACGGACAGTCATTACTACCAACTTCAACTTCTTGTACTATATTTCTGTTGTAATATATCTTTGTTATTCTACTCTTGTGTTCGTGTTGTTCTTCCTTGTTTCTAACCTTGGACCATAACTGTGGTGAGAGGATATTGGACCATAACAAAATGCTTGTTGTAAAATAAAATCCTTACATTTGCCTTGATAAAGTCCATTAGAGGATCAACAGTGTTGGCTAAAATACGTTTTTCTTTTGTCTTTATTCATATTGTCCTTTTACAAATATATATTTTAGTTATATCTGAAATTTTACACACAAATATATATATATATATATATATATATATATATATATATATATATATATAATGTGTGTGTGTGCAGGCATGTAGAAAAATAGGAAAGAACACGTTAGGTAAATAATCCAGGGTTCTTTAGTATTTTTGTTTTTATTTTTAAAAAACAGTGCTCCATACAGAAGTAGAGCTTAGATTATAATTATTTATGATTCCTTCACTACATAAGAGTTCTCATGTTTCAAAAACGAGAGCTGAAACCATCAATATAATTATTAAAAATTAAATTGAATTAAAGTAACAAGCCCTGTTTCATCCTCAAACGAAAAATTTTTGATGGTTTTAGCTCTCATTTTTGAAACATGAGAACTCTTATGTAGCGAAGGAATCATATTTTTAAAAAAATAATTATAATATATATATATATATATATATATATATATATATGGCCATATCATGTTGAAACACCATTTTTTGTATGATAACAAAAGTTAAGCAATGTCAAGTCTGGTCAGTAGCTAGATTAGTGATCGCTTGGGAATAGCAAGTGATGTAATAGATAAGTGGAAATCAATGAACCAAGTTTGAATTCCAGTCATGTTCATTATATTTACTTATGCACTAATACCCTTGGGAAAGGTATGAATCCACTTTTTCACCCCTTAGTTATGGGGTGATTAGCAGAACTTGTATCAGTAAATGATTGTTATCTCCAAAAAAAAATAAAACAAATCAACTTATGCTTGTTACATTTTTTTTTTCTAAATTAAATTTACAAAATGAAAATATATTTAAACCAAAAAAGGAATTAGATTATTAGCAAAAATATATTTAATTTTAAAATTCTTTGTCTTTTGGAGCTTGCTAGATCATTTTTTTTTTTTTTCATAAAATCATAAATCATTCAGATTTCTTTTCATGTCTTTTTCTTTTTTCCCTTCAGCTGGATCTGGATAACAGTAACCAAGAAATAGGACAGCATGGATCACGTCTATTTGAGGTCAGCAAGTCCAAGATCACTTTCCATGCCATGACACAAGAGTTTTTGATATTCTGCACAGATGTAAGTGAGCGTTTCAGGAGTTTAAATTTATGTTTTCAGAATCTTAAAGCTTTTCAAGAGTGGATTGGTTTCTCATTACCTTCTGAATGGTTTTGAATTCAGCATTGTCTTTCTTCTAGACTAGCAGCTACTCAAGGATAGAGAGTCCAGCTTCACTCACTTTCCCACTTCCTCGTGCCTTTTCTATAAATACTTTCATGGTAATTGTTTGGATGAGTTCTTTGCTATGGTACCAAGACTTTATGAAATTATGTGCAGTACTAGACTGTCATCGAGGTCTCACCAATGTACCAATTGGCTTGGCTAGATGTAACTGTAAGTTTTATGCTAACAGTTTCTTTTCTCACACTTCTCACTTCCGTCCTGGGTAGGACGATAAACTACGTCCAACAGCAAGGCTTCTGATCAGGAGGTTTTGAGAAGTGTGGAACCACCTCTTAATTGCTAGTGTTCCCAGGTCCACCCTGACCTGGGGTGGTAGCACCTGTTAGGGTCTCGGCTATGGGCAAATAGTTAACACCCAAACTTGTGTAAAAATAGGTTTTAATACTAGAAATAATCTGTAATAAAAAAAAAAATATTACTAGCAATAATTTTTGATGGAAAAATTATTATCAGCAATAATTAAAATTTACAGTGAAACATATACTGTTAGAGTTTGTAGATTTTGGTCTAGTGCAAACAAAATATTACCAAGTGAGTAATTTAAAAAAAATAAAAATTTTTTACGATATACGTTTTTGAAAAAAATAATATTACCCGCTATACATTTTTGAGAAAATAATATTACCAGCTATACATTTTTGAGGAAAAAATATTAACAGAAATAGATTTTTGACAAAACAAAAATATTACCAGGGGAAAAAAAAAGTTGTCGGCATAAAATGACCCATTGAGGTTGATATGCTGTAAAACAAACCAAACCAAACCAAACACACTTCTCACTTGTAGAACTCTCTTCTAGCCCCATGCTTTCTATTCAACTTTAATCTTCAAAAATTTAAATGCAATGTCAATCACTAGCTACTGTCCTCCTGATTACTCTTCTTTTTTTCTTGCACCTTAATAATGTTTCCATTTTATAATTCTGCCACACCCAGGAACTACTTGTGTCTTAGTAACTTTACTACCTCACATAGGGTGAACTCAGTCTAAAAAAAAGTAGTGACAGGAATTTGAATTTGACTTGCAAATTCCACATTTTACAATGATAGCCATTATGCTATCTGTAGATCTTATGAAAATAGCACAATAAACAAAATAGAGATATAAAATTATGACCTTTGACTTTCGTCTTTATTGTTTCTTTTATCATAACATTCAAATCATTAGCTTCAATGACCATTTAAGTAAACAGTATGAATAATTAGAAGTGTTTGCTGGATTACTACAGATTTGACTCTGTCCACCTTTGACAAATCAGTATATGTGATTTCCAGGAGTACCTTTATGCAACACTCCAAATAGCTCCAAAGCCAAAACCTTAACCTAAGAAATTTGGTCATGTTCTTCAATAGCCTTGTCAGATTTAGACTTTCATACAGATATCATACAACATGCCAATGTCATTTAGAAATATCTAAATTGTCAGCCTTACAGACGTTTTCTCAGATCTATGGTTAAAAATGGTTTTGAGAGGATGAAGCATGTAGGTCTTAAAGAAAACCATCCTTATGGAGTGAATCACAAAGAACTGTACCAAATAACAGAAACTACACCACTTGAGGACTTTCAACAGTGGCAACATCTGAAATGGATATCACATGTAACTCAAGGAGAAAATAATGACATAATCAAGATGATAATATTTCACACTACTACAAACAAAAAGTTAGGAAGGAAACCCCCATCAACACTAGAAAATAGCAATAACAGTTACTGGACTTGAAAAACCTTTTTTCCTGAAAAGTTATTTTAAAGATTTCAACAATACCACTAGCTGTTTAGTTAATGAATGTCAAATATTTCCTTATAAGGAAACACCTAATATTATCCTTACCATTGAAATTATTATCATCAGACAAAGTGACTCATTTATCAGTTCACTCTTGGATTTCAACATCAAATATTGTGCAAATATTTTAGTTAACATGTTGGCTCCCACACAACCCACCAGAGAGTCATGGTGGTGTGTCTGCAAGGCCCACATGACCCTCCAATGGATCATTTCCCAATTTCATTTCTGTGAGGATTCTTGGGAGTAGGATGCTATGATTGATTGCTTATGAGATCATGGTACACTAGAATCACATTATTTTCCAATTTTTTAACTTTTTTAAACTTAAAAATTTTTTAAACTTTTAATATTTTTGATTAGAGAAAATGAGATTTAGAATCAATGTAATACTTGTATATTGGGAATTTCCCAACAACCCATGGGTGGGTCGTGTGGGGCTCTGGGTTGTAAAATGAATTCAGGCACTGAAAAACACGCAGGTTGTGTGCAGGTAATAAATATTACTTTGCCTCATAAATGAAACAATGTTAAAACATAAAGTCGCTTGTACCAAAATTAATTAAGATATAGTGTGGGACCCTGTGACAGCAATGGAAATGTGACTTGAGAGCCAATGTGCTAATAGCTAAATATGGAACTTTTGAGGATGACAGTGATTGTTTCTATCTCAAATAAATTAAACTCTGACTGACCAATGAGGTAAGATCTTTTTATTTTCTTATTCATATTGACAAACTTTTAGAGAAATGGGCATTATGATATAATAGATTTCTTTTTCATTATTACAGTCTGGTTTAATCCAGTATTTTTTCATGGAAGACTGGAAATTTGTGAATGAATACAAACACATGTGTGGAATCATTCGAGTCTATCCTCACCCTCTGGGCCACCTGATATTCATTGATGACAAATATGATGGTTTTATTTATAATCCAGTAAGTATTTTTTTTTTTAAATTGATATCATATTGATGTTTGGCACTACTTAAATAGACTGGTGCTCTTATAAAACATAGAGAAACATTTTCTGGGAAATAATTTTTGTAGTTTAGCATTATTTTGATCTTTCTTCAAATTGCAACATTTTTCAGAATTTAAAAATATTGATTTTCAAGGCATTTGTAAATAAAACACTATGTGCAGATAACTATGTAACACCTGCCCTTTTAAAATGATTACAAATTAATCTTTTTTATTTTGATAAATGTCATTGCCTACAGAAGTCTTTATTTCCCCTCAAATCCCCACTTTATTTTTTAAAGAGTGAACCAGTCTATTTAAATCTATTGGAAAAATGAAATGGCTACACTTTTACTTAACAAATCAGCAAAAATAAGGACCAAAAATAAATCAAAATGGAATAAATATAACAATAATGTACAGGGTGCGATGGGTAAATTGTCACCATTTTATATTTTTAACCTCTTCCATCGTTTCTGCTATCATCTCTAACCTTGATGCACACAAAGTATGTAAACCCAATGGCTTCCCTGTAATAGTCATTAAGAAGTATGCTTCCAAACTAGCTCCTGTTCTTTCTAAACTGTATAATAAATGCCTTGCTGTCTCCTGCTTTCCTGCTGTTGTTCCAGTTCTTAAGAACTCTGGGGAACCATCTGACCTATCCAACTATTGCGCTATAAGTCTTCTACGTCGTTTTGGGAAACTTCTAGAGACCTAAATCACTGCTGAATTGGTTCATCATCTCTTGTCACAGGGCCTTTTCTCAGACAAGCAATACGGCTTTCGTTTCTCCAGATCAACTGCCAATGTACTAACAATAATTGCAGAAAAAGTCTATCGTGCTCTAGATAAAAACAGACATCAAAAGCCTTTGAAAAGGTCTGACATTCAGGTCTTCTCCACAAGCTGAAAATTTACGGTATATCCAGGCACGTTTTTGAGCTGGTCCAGTTGTTCCTATCAAATCATGAAATTAAAATTGTCCTAAATGGCCACTCATCTACTTTCTTTCGTATTAATGTGGGTCACCTGCATTAATACGAAAGGATGTTCTTTTTGCTATGTTACCCAGACTGTATGAATTTAAGTGCAATACTAGACTGGCAGTAAGATCTCATCAATTTACAGTTTTTCTTGCTTGTGGAACTCCCTCCTGGCTCCATGCTTTCCAGCCTGTCAGCATTATTTTCATTTTTACATAATTTAGATGACAATTTATGCATCACACCCTGTATATCTTAATCTATATTAGCTGTTCCTATAACATAGGATCACAGGATTTATTATATATACTCATATAAGAGGGTTTATATATATGCATTATATTTTTCATATGTTTTTCTATATATATTGCACATATGAAAAATATGATGCATATATATAAACCCTCTTATTTTCAGCCAGCATGGCCATCAGCAGGAGAAAAAAAAATTCCTGCTTGTTAGTAGCAGTAAACTACAAGAGTGAATGAATGTTTCTAAAGAAAGTAAACTTTATTTGTAATTTTCATTTGTTTTTTATCGTTAATTTTGGTCAGTACTTGTGTTGGTCAAATGACCTCTTTCAAGTTGTTTTTAAGATAGAGGATGGGAGATTCCTGGTTTTTTTTTGACAGTTTTATTGATTGCTGGGAATGGGATGTATGTGCTAAGTGTATGTTATCTTTTAGTTCTGTGCTTGCGTGTGTTTGTGTGTGTGTATTAGTATGAGACTTCACCTCTGAAAGCATGTCTGTCTTGTGCAGGTGAGTAATGTGGGTAGGGCTTGATTTATGGGGTTATATATTAATTCTATGTTGTTAAATTTGTGGTTAAGCCCATCTGGATGAAGTGTTTTGAGGCACAAAATCAATTTGTCTTCATGTTCCTCTAGTATTTTTCTAAGGTTATCTTTTCTGTGTATTTCTATTTTTTTCAATTATAGTGAATTGTACATGGCTTTTAAAATCATGTTTTTCTAGGTTGAAATGTTGTTCTACAGGTAATAATCTTTTGTGGGGAGATGACTTGATCCGATTCTGATAATTATTAATTCTGTAGTGAAAGGGCCATTCAGATTTTCCCACATATTGTTTCTGGCATAGTGTGCATTCTAATAGGTAAATTATATTATGACTTCTACAGTTACAGTTGTGGTAGATTTTGAAAGCAGATTTAATGATTGAGCTAGTGAACAAATTGTTATGTCTAATGTGGTTACATGTGGTTTGTTGTTACATGGTTGGGAAAATCTTGTTGTTTTTATTTTTGGTCTATTACAGATTACCTTATCATCTGAAATTTGGTTACTACCTATAATTTCCTTAAGGTTCTTAGGTCTACAATATGGGAGAAAGCCAGGTTCCTCAAACAAAATTTTTTGGTCTGGTTTGACATGTAGTATTTTCCAGTGACTTTTGATAATCTGGGATAGTGGAGGAAGAGTGGTGTTGAAAGTGCTTACTATAGGGTTACATCTGGATTTATTTTTAATTTTATACATTCGGGTATCTTATCTAGGTGTGGAAATTGCTTTATTTGTTCCCTGAGTAGGTGTTATGAATTGATGCTCAAGATTTTTAGTGTATTTATTTAGTTCTTCATTATGAGAATAAGTAAAGAAAGATTGTCAACAAATGCTTCTTATGATATTTGTGTATTTAGGCAGAAATCCTTCATTTATAAATGTTTCATTAAAAACAACAGACACGGTACTACAATTAAGCTTTTTATTTAATTTTTCTTGTGTTCAAACAAATGTTTTCTTTTCTGGACACAAAGTATGTAGAAACTGTCCAAATGTTCTATAATTCTGAGCACTTTTGGCTGTACTTTTAGCCATTATCAAGGATGATTTTATTTTTATTTTATTATTTTTGCTTTTTAATTCTTATGATATGTAGATATAATAAGCTGATGAAAGAAATTTAAGAGAAATAACAACAAAAGTAATAATAATATTGGTAATAAGACTAATAATATTTATTGTAGATTAGTTGGTCTTTTGACCAAATGGAAGCATGATTAGGAAAGATGTTAAAAATCAAAATTTTCAGACACACCTGTGTTCTTTCTTATCAAAACAAAAAAATAAAAAGTGAAGTGGGACTTTTTTCTGGATAAAGTTTCTTTTTTTTTTTTTTCATGTGTTAGATTATTGAAGAGATCTGCTAGTTTTGGGCTAGTTGTTTACCATTATTATGATTGTATAGAGTTTGTAGAATGCTTTTTGTGAAAACTATGTTCATTAAATATGCATAGGTTTAAACAGGAATTTAGGCATACTCAATGAATACAAAAAATCTATTAGTCTATCAATATTATATTTTTTGTCTCTCAAATTCCTTTCATCAGCCTATAACATATAACATTCAGGCCATTAGAGGAAAATAAACTAACATACTGTTTAATAAATAAACAGAGCATTTCTTCAAATATAAGTATTCACTAAAAATAATGTTTAAAGTAATAAAAATCTGTCAGATTAATATAAATCCATTACTTGCATTGTTTACACTTGGATACAAACTGTGCAGATATGAAAAATTTTGGGAGATCTCTTACATGAATAGTTTCACTTAGAGGCACAACTCAGCCTTGATCGATCAGCTGGTTCTCTGTAGTTTAGCTGGTTAGAGCATGACAGGTCTTATGGTAGCTCCCTCTATCCAGATGGACACAGGTTCAAATACTGCCAGAGAGTGTAAATTTTTCTTTGATAAGATTGTATGAACATTAAGGCTGGTAGACGAAAATAAATATATATACTGTTTAATAAATAAACAGAGTGTCTACACATATGAGTATCCACTAAAAATAAATAACATTTAAGTTATATATATAAATATATATATATACACACGCACACACATATATATGTGTGTATGTGTATGTACATATATATATATATATATATATATATATATATATATATAGAGAGAGAGAGAGAGAGAATTAATGGATTTCATAATTTAATCCAATATATTTTTATTATTTCAAACATTATTTTTTCAAGGACACCTGTGTTTGAAATAGACTAAATAATACTATTGCATATATGTAGTCTCAAATTCTTAAAGAAAGTTAAATTAATGGCTTTTAGACTTCCTTCACATGTTGAATAATAAAAATTATGTCATTTGGGAGTTCATCAGGATTTTAGAGACACTTAGGTGGGGTATGGCCAAAAAAAGGTTATAGTGAAGTCTTGCACAGAACCTTTTTGGAAGAGTCAATTACAGAGAACTGGTTCCCATAGTGTGCCAGAAAGTTTCCAAACCATCATCCTTAGTGTTTCAATTCAGAGTTGTCCTTCTCCTAGCCTTGTTGCCAATCAAGACTGTCCTGCTATTCAACCCATAACTGAGGGAGAAGAGATGGATTCATACCTTTCCCAAGGGTATTTGCACATAAGTGAATATAACAAACTCAGATGGAATAAGAACTTGACTCATTCATTTCTCAATCCAAGTCCCATTACCCGTTACATCACCACACGCACACACACACACATATATATATATATATATATATATATATGTGAAAAGTGAATATAAATATAAATAAATATATATATATGTATAATTATTTATATATTATATGCGCGGTACTTATTAGAAAGCGCTCAATATCAGAGATAGAGCTAACATATTTGGTTGGATAGATGTGAGTTTGTGACCCTGGGTTTCACGCTTTTAGCGATCGTCAGACAAACTGATTACTGTTTTAAAAAATTTGGGTTTATGTAGATTGCGTGTATTGGTGTTATTGTGGAAGTGGTGGGGAAATTTCGTCGTTTTGTCATTCATCGTATTTAACGCAAAAACATCGATGTATGCAGGCACATATACATATATATACTTGGTCGTCCGTCGGGACTCATACATATATATAAACATATGTAGACAGTTTCGGCTATGACACATGTATGTATACGGGTGGTGTTATGTCTATACATACGCATTTGTATGTTGAAATGTTGAAATTTAAACATTGGAAGTGTGGAAATGTCTCGTTATTGTCTCGTGAATGTATCCATGTCATATTATGAAATTTTTTTTTTTTCCGTTGAAAAATATTTGAAAAAATATTTTCTCGCATGTATGTATATATGTGTGGTGGGGTTTGTGTAAAATTATGATAGGTAAAAATTATTATTAAATTATTTATATTTATTTTTAAATTTTTGAAAAAAATGGGGTTTATTTGTTATATTTAAAGCTGGTTATTTGTTTGTTTTTGATGACTGTGTATATGTAACAGGTAAAAAATTGTAATCCTTATTGTTTAATTTATATGGTGATGTTTAATTTAATAACGGGTTTATATGATATGATGTGATAGTAATGTTTCAAAGGATTGGAGACAATGCTATTAAGGTTTTAGCTAATAGTTATTGTAAACTGGAAGAAATTGCAGATTGGTAGAAATGATTAGTAATGGTGGTGGGAGAATGATAAAACCATGAATGTAGTTATAGTGGTGGTAGCTTGAACTAAAAAGTGGTTGTTGGTGTATTATTTTTGCATACACACACACACACATACATATATATATATATATATATATATATATATTAAAAAGAAGAGAAGAGAGGTGCCGCAAACGTTTTTGGTGTAATGTGGATTTTTTAGAAAAAAATATTATGCTTTATTTTCTATAATTTTACTACATGTGTTTCTGGTCTTGTGACTGTCTTCAGGTAAAAGCGGAGATTTCCACATATTATTAAAAATAATTAATTTTTTCCTTATGTTTTTCAATGTTAAATATTCTCGATATGAGACATTTTCTGTTTTTGTGTTAGTAATCCGAATGTCTTTCTTGAATTGGCAATGAAGAGTTCTGCGCGAAGGGTCATAAAACAATCAAGGTTGGTCCAAGCGAAATGATGAATTACTTATCGGCATTTTATCTTTTAATGTTTTACTGTCCCCTATGTGTTCTTGGATCTCTTTCCATTTTTGTGTGTTTCTGTCAGCATGCATGTATATATGCGTATGTATGTTCCCCCTCCATACATATACTGTCTTACTACGAGGAATTAGTAAACTCATTTGTACACATACACACATACACACTGTCCCACCACAAATATATATATATATATATATATATATATATATATATATATATATATATTAGTTACAGAATGCATACCCTGTCCCAGAATAGCAAACTACTGGTCAGAATTCTGATGACATGAACTCCGTAGGGGTGGTTTGAAACCCATGTGCATGGAATTCTGATAATGATGGATTGCATTTGTTGACATTTTTCATACAAGATGAAAAAGGTATAGGCACTAATACAACAATTTGAAGGATCGGCATGTCTCTTGCATTCAAATAATTTAGTGGCGCAAGCCATCTTGTTGATATGTGTTTTCCTGATTATTTCCCTGTCATTTCCTCCTAGAAATGATGCTACAACTACTGTCTATCATATAATAAAGAAAAATAAGCAAAGAAAAGTGTCCATTGTTGATGCAGTCTGTGATGTAGTTTTTGGGTTTGAAGATTTGAAGCCAAAGATGACACAAAATGCAACACTATGTTTCCAAGACACTGTGTAATGTTGGTCTACATTATTTGTGCTAGAAACTAGATATCTATTAGCATACAATAAAACCTGTTTTGTGACATTTTTGTTTGGAGGAAGTTGTTTAGCTTAGACTGTATTGTAGAGGATCCGACTGAAATCAAAATGGCAGTGCCCATGAGAAATTGCCATCTTCATCTTTATAAGTCATTTATTTCTAGTAAATGTAAATTTCCTATTTTTCCCCAAATGGGCCAGCACAGCTAGGCAATAATGCTATAACAATGCAGCATTGAAAGTGTTAATAAGTCAAGAACTTCCACCTTTTCATTGAAAGGGAGTACTTAACAATTTATCTTTGGCATATCTGATATTAATATCACTACTTTTTGTTTATAATAGATAAAGGGGTGTCTACTTTTTTTTCTTTTTTGGTATCTGGAAATATTCTTGGACCAACAGTTACCATTTGTAACGAAGCTATAATTTCTCTTTCATTATAAATGTCCAGACAAGAACAATATTTGTGTCGTTTGAAGAATCAATTTCACACAACAATGTTTTCCTTCCAAAATATATTTTCTACTCTTTAAAAATATTTCTTCATTGGAGACATACCAGGAACAACTGAAATTTGTTTTGTTTTGCTTTTATGCTAATTATTGCTTTTACACAGTCATTGTACATGACCAAAATGTATTCTGATGCATGTGAATAATGACATTAACAAAGATATTGTAAAATAGACATTTGGTAGTTATCCATTTTATTTCTTTCACCTTGGTATTAGAAATTATGTGGAACTATTTTTCAGAACTATGTTGTGTGTGTATATATATATATATAAATTGTCAGTTAACCTGTGGAAAAGATAACATTTATAAATATAAATGACAAGAGAAAAACTGTAGTTATTGTTGACGCATCCACATTGGAAAAAAACACGTCAGCAATAACTACAGTTTTCCTATTGTCATTTATATTTATAAATAAATATATATATATAGATACTATGAAAGGATGGCCTGAGTTGTAATTTGAGTATCACACTCATGTGATCTTCAGACAATTTGAACATTCAAATGTGAGTGTGAAACTCTGGTTACAACTAGAGCCATCCTTTCATAGGATTTAACATTGCTAAGCATTTTTTGCTCAGTCCAGGCAATCTAGGCTTCAAGCACTTTATTCAGTAGGTAATTATCAATATATTTTTTCAGTAGTGTACTTTTTATTCAAGACTGTAACTGGATAAGAGTTTTAGGATTTGGCAAGTTGTCCATTGGTTCCATCAAGGGTTTTTGTTTTTCTTTATATATATATATATATATATATAGATAATATTATTGGTCAATATATATATAATGGACTCTCCCATCGGTTTCAACGTATGAGGATCTAATATATGAGCATTTAATATATGTATATATTGATAATATTAATGGTCTATATATTATATATATATATGTATATATTAAGAAATGGACAAAGTCCAACAATTTATTTATTAAAGACATTTTTATGTTTAAGGTTCTTTTTTATAGATACAAGTATTTAAGTAAATGCTCTGTTTATGATAAACAGTATTAAATAACATTTACCAGCCTGAATGTCCGAGAAATTTTCATAGAAAATATTCGTCCTTTGACAGGATTCGAACCTGCATCCTATACGGAACCTACCGAATGCTCCTTTGTGGCCGAGACGGTAAGGCACGTCAGCGTAAATGACGGTTCCGTATAGGATGCAGGTTCGAATCCTGTCAAAGGACGAATATTTTCTATGAAAATTTTCGGACATTCAGGCCGGTAAATGTTATTTAATACTGTTTATTATAAACAGAGCATTTACTTAAATACTTGTATCTATAAAAAGAATGTTAAACATAAAATGTCTTTAATAAATATATATGTATATATTGATAATATTAATAGTCAATATATATATATATATATATATATATATATTTCCAAGAAGATAAAATCCAGGTAGAGCTCTATGTACAAGATAGAGCAAGAATTTAAAAGGTTCAAACACTAATATTCCATGGTTATAATTTATTACATTGGAATCATAATCATGATCCACTTCATCAGACCTACAAATTCAAAAAGCATATATATATATATATATATATCTTCAGCGGCTTTGCATAAGTTGACTGTGATGGTGTCTTGCCAGATCAGCGTTGAAAGGAATTGTCGCATTGTCATTATGACCAGCTGTGATCTAAGTCTTTCCCTCATACCTGGAGCAGACAGGTACTTCAGCTAATTAGAAATCATTTCAAGATGAATGAGCCATAGAGGGTTTCTCTGGAAAATAGCCACTCATTTGGAATCTCTCAAGAACCATTTGCATGACTGGCCTTGATATAATTTAATAATAATTCAAACGAAACCTTACTGTGGTTGCGTAAATTGATACTCTCCTGTAGGGTTACTCAGTCACTAGGGAGATGCCATTGAGTAAGCTTATATATTGCATGACCTTCTCATTTATCATAAAAATGGGTTTGCCCATTTGTCATATCTTGTACAGAGATTTTTTTCAAAAGTATTCTCCTGTTCAGATTTGACTCTTTGCAACTTTGTGTTCAGGCTTTAGCTAATGCAAAAATTGAAACTCTGCAACAAGACAGTTAATGGTGATTCCAAAAGAGGACTTTGCAAACTGTTTTGTAAATGAAAGAGGACTAAAAAGACATTGCTTTCAGTAGGTTATTTTTTTCATTAATATAAAACGGATGGATACTTTATGGACAGACCTTGTACTGAGTGTAATTATTATAACAAGCATTTTCATGATGATCATTCTTAGGTTAATGACCAAGTAGTGGCTGTGCCAGGATTTGATGCCAATATCTGTGGTATTTTATGGGAGACACACCCTAATGATCAGGTAAGTTACTGACAGCATCTTATTTTTTTTATTATTATTATTATTCTTTGATGATTTAATAGACACATACATTGCATTTTATCTACTGCAAAACTTTCACAAAAATCCAATAAATGAACAGTGATGATTTTATGGGTATTTTGCAGATGCAAGTGTTATCAAAGAATAATTGTTTTTGAGAAGGAGCTTAAGGACACTCCTCAGTCACAAGGTGGGGATAGATAAAAGAAAATATGTATTTTTGTTTTGTTTTTAAAAATAATTCCATTGGTTCCATTGCCACATAGGCTTCAAAGGCTTATTTTAAAATTGCATGTTTTTAAAAATACTTTTTATTAAAAGATGGTTTAAATCAGTGGTTCTTTTTTTAATCTTTTTTTACCCATGGACCCCCACTTTTACTCTTAACTTTTTTGGACGACTCCAATAACCATTCAATGAAAAAAAAAAAGCTTATTTTAATTTTTACTAATAGATAAGTTTAGGAATTGTATTATATAAATAGTAAATATATATGCTTTATTTTGAAGTAAAACTAATTTAATGAAAATAAACTTGTATTTAACAACAAAATTCTATAGAACATTTATTCACACTAGTAAAATAACTATTTTTTTTGTGTGGACACCAGTAATGTTACATGGACCACTGTTGAGAATTGCTGGTTTATATTGTCTTTGCTTTTTAAATAATGATTATGTTGGTCTAAAAAAATATTTTATTAAAACAAAGGCAATTTTTAAAGTGCAACAATATTTAAATTAAAATGATGTTTCAAAATATTCATATTTTTTTTTATTAAGTTTATAACCATATAAAGATTTAAAGTTTTTACCCATGTAAAGATTTAACATTTTTCTTACTATATGGCATTACTGTCCTTTGCCGTTCGCACTTGATTTTAAAATCATGATACAATTTTCACCGATCCAATTTGACTAGTATCGTTCATCTGGCATTAAAGAAACAGTTAAAAGAAATTCTTATTTTATAGCATTAAATTTTCTACTTTCATATTATACAAGAGGTCTGAATGATGAAAAAGGTTCAAATGTAAAAATCACATTTAAAAATAGAGTATTTGGATCTTGTCAGTACAGCTAAGAGAAGGGCCAGCATATTGCATACATATACCATTACCATTTTTGGAGAAAGAAAACAATGAATTCAAAGCACCTGCTACTTTGAAGGTCTTTTCTCTTTTAATTTCTGAGAAGAGAGATGACGTAACCTCAACATTCCTGGTACAAAAGGAACCGACAAGCCATTGCATTATTCTGCCTTGAATGTCACCATGAACCACAATTGTGAGATGGAGGGGAGTGGTGACCACAGTGATGCAAAATCTGCCAACTGAATGAATGAATCATTTATTTATACAGTAAAGTCAATATAACATATACATTTCTTACAAATGATATGCAATGACTCTGAGATTGACTCAAAATTTCAACCATTAGTAAAATATTTTATTAAAAAAAAAAAAAATAGTGCAGGGTTTTTTTTTTTTATGGAGCAGCAACTAAGTAATGATGACTGTGAATGATACCTTTTCACTGTTTTTATTTATTAAAATGTTGGAAATTAACATACTTAAAAAAAAACAAGAAATAATCTCAAAATGTCTGTTTATTATTTATTTCTTCTAGGGAGTGTTCAGTGCATATGATGAAGAATATATATCTGTTTACATTTATAGCAAGCAGACACTGAATGGTAAGTAGTCTCTGATTAAAATTATACTTTTGCTGTTATATATTCAATAAATAATGAAGTAAGTTCAAGTAACTTATCTAGTTATCTGACAAGAGTTTTGCATTGAGATACACATGATCATTTCAACACACAATTCTATAGTAGGATAACCAGATAAGTCGCTTGAAATATTCTTCATTTATCAAATATTATAGCTCTGGTTATGGATTGAGTGTTTTTATGGCAGAAGTTCCGTTATCATAAAGAGGACATGTAAAAATATCATAATTTTCACATATTTTTTTAGCTGTATTATTATTTTATTTTATTATTACTATAAAAGTTAGTTTTAGTCGATCAGGCGGGACAATTTTTTCTTAGTAGGACTTCTTAATCTAGCCTGGTTGTTATTAATTTCGCTGAAAAAAATAAAAAAAACAACAGATTTCAACTTGAACTAAAATAACATTTATAGTAATAATATAATAGTTTCTCTGATGGTAAAAGGGATACAAGTTCAATTCCTGTTGTTAGGAGTTCTTGTATATTTTCCTAATAAGATTTCTTAAATATTCAGGCTGGTAGATGTGAATAAATAAATAAATATGCTATTTAATAAATAAATAAAAACGGAGCATCTACTCAAATATGACTATCCATTTGAAAATAACATTTAAACAAATAACTTACAAATCTGTCAAATTTAATATATTTTCTATATATATATATATAAAGAAATATAATTTTAAGGTGTGCTATATTTATGGGATAAAGTGCTCAATATCAGAGATAAAGTGTATGTAAATATGAAAGTGAACATTGAAGTCAACACTCCAAAGCGATGGACTGTTTCATGCTAGACGCAATTGTCAGGCCATCTATATTGTTTTTTTTTCTCAACTATTTATATGTACAGGTCAGTGGTGCATTGTGGGTACTCCATTCTGATGGTTATTTTGTTTATTTATTTATTTGGGTTAATTTATTTTACTTGTTTCTTATTTTATTTTTATTTGTCTATTCTAAAGAGAGTGGTACGTTACTTAAAAATCAAAAAACTGTAAAGAATAAATAACACTATACAAAATAAGAATAAGAAAAAACAAGTAAAATAAATTAATCTAAATAAATAAACATTAACAAACCGATCCCACTAAAATAACTGTTAGAATAAATAAAAATAAAAAATAAATAAGCAAAAATAAGTAAAACATAATCAATCCAAATAAATAAAATAATAAACAAATTAAAAAAACTGTCCCCGCCAAAATAACAGTTATTATAGACTACAGCAATCAATCCAAAAATTGAACAAAAAACAGCTTTAATTACCTTCCCAGACTAAAACAAACTATCAAATAAACAATCTGAACTAATCTCAAAAATTTTTTACTAAGTTACTAAAACATCGAAAACTTAAAAGAATAAATAAATATATAAAATAAAATAAAAATAAAAAACAAGTAAAATAAATTAACCCAAATAAATAAAGAAACCACTCCCACCAAAATAACCATCAGAATGGACTACCCATAATGCATCATTGATCTGTATGTATAGTCGAGAAAAAACCCAATACACATGGCCTGACAATTGCGTCTAGCATGAAGCAGTCTGTTGCCTCTCAGTATTGACTTTGATGTTTACTTATATATATGAAATAATACAGAAAGATTGTCCACTTATGCTTCTTATAATATGTAGATCATTTTGAGCTGGAGACAAAGAAATAATCCAATACAGTAGAAACCTCCTCCTAACCTACTCTGAAGAAAGATGAAATCCTTTTATCTGCAGGGAAAGTGATTGCCTCAGTTTTTTAGGATACAAAAGGCATTGTGTTTATTGACTGTATTCAAAAGGGCCACACTATCAATGGAAAGCACTGTACTAACTTGCTGAGGCAGTTATGAAAGACTTTCAAGACCTAACACCCAGGAAAACTGCCAAAACAGGTCTTGTCTTATTAGGATAATGTTCCAACACACAAGTCCTTGGTGTCAATGGCTGCTATACATGACTGTGGCTATGAACTGGTTGATCACCTTCCCTATTCTACTGATTTGGCACCATCTGATTATCATCTATTCCCCAGCATGAAAAAACACTTGGCTGGGAACCAGCATTGCAGTGATGATGACATCAGATCTGCTGTTGATGACTTTTTTGACCAACAGGATGAAAGCTTCTTCACCAATGAGATCCAAACATTGTAACACCGATGGAAGAAGTGTGCAGACTGCAAGGGGGACTATGTTGAAAAATAAACCTCATTTAGTCACATTCCATGAGAGTATCTTGTTCAGCCTATGAACGTTTTGGCCAACCCTCATATAAAAGAAAATGTTATTATATATGAGAATATATTTGGTAAATCACTGTTTACAAATTTTGATTATAGAAATTTAAAGTTTCAAGAAACAAGGATGTGACTAAACTATTTCTCTTTATTTTTTTCCAGGAAGCAAATGTGAAAAGGTTCATCAGTGTAAAACACCCTTCGCACAAAGGCCAGTGCTCCTTAACAATGGGGAGATAACTCTACTGCATCAAAGTGGACGTCTAGTGAACATTACCTTGGCAACTCATTCTGTCTTTATCAATGATAAATATGATGAACTTCCTCATGAAAAGGTGATCAAATTATCATGCTGACTATTTTTACCTTCTTTAGTGTTGCCTTGTTTCCTGGTAGACTTTACGAATACGAAGTACGAATGTCATTAGTTTCTTAGGTTTCAACAAATAGCAACAAAAGAAAAATTATATAGACTAGCATAATACCTAACAAAATCAATCAACATTCTGATTTTCATTTAATCAGAATGCAAGGACACTCAGAATCTTAAAAAGTAGGGAAGAAGTCAATTCAGTTTTATCAAAATGTTTATCCAGAATCACAGATTCTTTCAACAAGAGTAAAGAATTAGTTTTACACCTGGCTTTAGCCCTTTGAACCCTGACCCCCTGATGAGTATAGGCCTCCCACACTGAGCTCTTATTGTCCATCTCATAAAGCCACACACTAGAAAAATGTACATTTTTGTACTGTTATAACAACATTTTATTAATAAATAAATCATGGTTAAAATTATGTGGTTGGTTGAAAACCCATGGTGACCTAATATTTGATAAAACCTTCCATGATTGGTTGAAATACCCAGCTAACTCATGGGTTAAGTTTAAAGTTGTAAGACCATTGTCTTTGTAAACAAAACAGACATGCCTTTGGCCAGTATACTGGCTGCCTGGGCATATGCATTTTCACACAGCAACTTGTATACCATCCCCTTGGTTTCATAAGGTTCATGGATACTGATGTTCTTGGCAAATAATTTTAATATCTGTTACATTTGAATTTAAATTTTTATTCCCTCTCCTTGAATGGAAAATTACTGAACAGATAAATATACCAGTATGTGTTTGTGTATTATTTTTACCATAAAGTTGTGAAGTAAATTTTATAATGTCCGTAACAAACAAGATGAAAACAATAAATATATTAACAATCATTAATCTCAAAAGTGAAATGCAAAAGTATCGAAAAATGGTATAAACTCATGGTGATAACCAAATATCAAAACCATCTGACACTGAATATAAAAGCTCCAAAAATACACCACTGATGTTCTTTGGGAATGGTTACATAGTACAGGAGTTGGTTAAGTATTTGTTACTGTCATGTGATAGTTGTGACTTCAATCCCTCAATCAGATAATGAGACAATGGTTCAACAAGCATGAGCAGTAACTGGAGAAATTAGTACAGTAATCTAGTCAGTCAGTTCCATGCGTGATACATGCTCCGGTGATCATTTATCTTTTGATACATGACTGACGAGGCAGATTTTTTCCCACAGTAGGTTGCCATTTCTTTCTGCAGTAGACCAGTTACCATTCAAAGCTATAGAACCCAGTCTGTCCTACTATTTGCCCGTATCTAGGGGGAGAAGAAGAGAATTCATACCTTACCCAAGGGTATTAGCATGTAAGTGAATGTAATGGATTCGACTGGAATTCCAATTCGGCTCTCTGATTCCTCAATCCAAGCCGCTATCAATTACTCCACCGTAACATAGCCAAAAATTAAAATAAAGTGGACACCATGTGATGGATGGTCAGAGTGTACTTGACTGAAATGTTGTATCTATAATAACATCTATAACAATCAAAATGAGATCAGTTGTTTGCAATAAATAAAATATATTGACAGTCCTGGGTATGATGATAAACTACATTCAGCAGCAAGGTTTTGAAGAACGTGGAACCACCTCTTAAGTGCAGTTGTTCCCCGGTCCACTCTGACCTGGGTGGTAGCACCTGTTAGGGTCCCAGCTATGGGCAAACAGTGAACCCACAAACAAAAACAAAACATTATGAAAGTATAAAAGTACATTTTTATATAAAAATGATACCAGCAATAAATATTTATAGTAAAATTACCAACAGTACCTATTTATAATAAAATTACCATTAATAACTATTTATAGTATATATTTAGTTGAAGCCATAAAATTGTGTTTAAAATATTTACATTTCAGCATTAAATAACCCATAGAGATGTTGATATGTCGCTAAAGAAAATCATCCATAAAAAAAATACAAAATTTAAATAAATTTTAATAAAATGCTGTATAAAAGGTTTGTTTAACAGCATATCAACTCCTTATGGGTCATTTAATGCCGAAATTTAATTTTCTTGGGAGCTTTGAAGTAATAAAAAAGTGTTATTCTGCTTTCACAGTTGAATACATGGTAGATGATACTCAGCTTTTGTGCATATATATATATATATACATGTTTGTGTGGATATGGTTACTGGAGGCAGTGATGTATGTATTTTATGTTGTACTTTTGTTGAAGTTATATTTTGAAATACGGTTTGATTTCTTTAAGAAATTGTAGGATATTATATGGATTAATATTATGAAAGCCCTTTTTTATGTTTAAAGAAAGAAAACTAAAGTGATTTGCTAAGAAAATAATGATAGAGTAGGGATAGGCTTGTAACTTTGCATCTGTGGGGAAAGAGGCTGTAGAGTGGGAGACATGTTGTCCCCTACAAGCCCGCATTGATGATTTTGAACTCTATCAAGGCAGGGAAATGTAGATTGATCAACCCCAGTCCAAATTTTTCGTCTAATCTGCCTTTTCTAAGGGTAAAGCTTGGACAAAGATGGTGAATATGAGTTTTGAAGTAATAAAAATATTATATATGTTATTCTTCTTCCACAGTTGAATCCATGGTAGATGATACTCAGCTTTTGTGCATATATATGTTTGTATGGACATGATTACTAGAGACAGTGATATATATGTTTTATGTTGTAGTTGAAGTTATATTTTGGAATACAGTTTGATTTCTTTAAGAAATTCTAAGATTTTATATGGATTAATGTCATGAAAGAGTTCTTTGATATTGGTTGTTTGGTTTAGCAGCATATCAACCTCTATGAGTTATTTAATACCAAAATCTAAATTTTTTGAACACAATTGCATGCCTTCAACTATACATGAAATGTGTTGTTGGTCTTTTTGTTATATATGTATTGTTTGGTCATTTTGTCATAAATATATATTGTTGGTAATTTTACTGTAAAAATATATTTTTATACTTTCATAGTGTTTGTTTTTGTTTGGGGATTTATTATTTGCCCATAGCTGGGACCCTAACAGGTGTTACCACCCTGGGTCAGAGTGGTCCTGGGAATAACAGCACTTAAGAGGTGGTTTCAGGCTCCTCAAAACCTCCAGTATCCCAATCACACCTTGCTACTGAGTGTATTATGTAAAAGATGTGTATGTACTGTCAACGATGAACTTATTCATACACCCATCAATTTTGAATATTTTTATCCATTTCTCAGAATCTAATGCCCATATGATGCCAGTTTTTTTTTTGCATAATTCACCTGTCAAATTTCTTGTATTTAACCTATTGTTCACAAAAATTGAGTTTTATATTCCTTTTTTTGTGCTTATTAACATATAAAAAACCTGGCATCATACAGACATTAGATTCTGAGAAATGGATAAAAATATTCAAAATTGATGGGTGTATGAATAATTTTGTCATTGACTATATGTATCTATGCACATACATACATACATACATACATACATACAGTATGTGTGTGTGTGTGTATATATATATATATATATATATATATATATATATATATATATATATATAACCACAAGCAACATTGTTTGTTGGTTCATCTCTGTTATTGTTAGTTATTGGATGAAGTCTGTTAATTAGAATTTTAGCAAATGGATTCTGAATATTGATGGCTTTCATTTTTTTTTTTTTTTTTACAGCTTCAAGAAAGTTTGTTACTGAGTATGAAACTGAAAAGGTAAATATTAATGATAATATTAGTTGTTTCCTCATAAGGAAACATTTGACATTCATTGATTGAGAAGTTAGGCTTTTCTCCATTCTTTATCAGATTGGGTTCAAAATGTAATATCTGTTCTCATCTCTAATGATAATATAAGCTGTTTCCTTATAAAGAAACATTCAGCATTCATTGACCGAGCAACCAGTGCTACTTGAGTTAGGCTTTTTTTTCAGTTATATATATGTGTAAAAATATATGGCCATCAGGATTGGATCTAAGTGTAGTATCTGTTTTTCTCATCTCTAATGATAATGTTTATATTATCTGCTTTTTTATAAGGAAACATTTGGCACTCATTGACTGAGCAGCCAGTGCTATTCAAGTTACATTTTTTTTCATTCTTTGCCCATCAGATTGGGATCAAAGTGTAGTATCTGTTCTCCTCATCTCTCATGGTAATTTTAGGCCATTTCTTATAAGGAAACATTTGGCATTCATTGACCGAACAGCCAGTGCTACTCATGTTTGGCTTTTCTTCACTCTCATGCCATCAGGCTGATATGAAAGGTTGCTTTCCAGTCAACTTTGACCTTCAAAAATTTAAATGCAATATCAATCATTATTTTCTGTCTTAATACTTGTGCTTTTATTGTTCTTGCTCCTTAATAATAGTTTTTCTTTCTCTCTTATACTTTTACATTCAGTAACCACTTGCATCTTAGTTTCTTTTTTGTCTTGCTTGGGATGAAATGATTAAAAACAGTATCTGTTGTATCCTTAAAAAGGTTACAGACAAAGATGGTATTCGAGTGAAAGAACAGCAACACAGACGTAGATGAAAGAAAGAGAGGTTTATTGTAAAAGAGAATACACTGTTAGCAGGCTAGTAACTCCCAAAGCCAGTCTCAGGTATATCCTGTGCACACTATATATACCTACCTATATAGTCAGTCCACAATAGGCAATAGGGAGAGTGGGACATTCCATTATAACAGTATCTTTGCAGTTTGTTTATTATTTTTAGTGTAGTAATTATGCAAACACCTTGACTGCTATTTTCATTATTTACATTGTTAGGACTGTTGTCTTCATCTTTATTGCAATATTCACAACATTTCAGCTGTTGTATGGTCTGGACTTCTTCAGGTCATATATGTTGGAATTTCAAACTGAATCACAGGACACATAGCCCAATGGATAAAAGTGTTGGTTGAAGTAATCCAAAAGTAACTTGACCCAAAATGTTGTGAGTTCAGTACTTGGCCTCAGCAGTGGCGAATAAAAACTTAGAGAGTTGAGTTACAAAGAGAATTAACTGAAACTGATATATCCAGAAAAAGCCATGACACATGGAACTAGAACAATTTACTTCTGTGAACTAAATAAAGGGTTCATTTGAAATTCCAACATATATCACCTGAAGAAGGCCGGAGCGTACAATGGTCGAAATGTCATGAATATGACAATAAAGATGAGGACAGCAGTCCAAACAATGTAATAGTTATAATACCTCATCTCAGAAATATAGATAGACCTTGACTGCTATATTAAATTTTTTCCTATTTTCTATGATTTTCTTCTTACATAAAGTAATTGATTTATTAAAGGTGGCCAGATTGCTGGAAACTATGCAAAGCCATCAATGAGAGGAAGACCTGGGAGAATCTAGCAGAATGTACTCTCCGCAATTTGGATATTGATGAAGGTGAAGTAACTGTTTCTTTTTGATCTCCTATAACAACTTGCTTATTGAAATTTAATCCTTTTCTTTTTTGATCAAAGTTTGTAAAATTCATAAAACTCTAAACTATCTTCAATTATCTCCCTTGCTGACTAACTCACTATAACTCGCTACCACAAATACTCCCAGTTACTAAAATGGTCACTTGATAAAATAAAGACTTTTTTTATATAAATGTTCACTCAATCCAAGGTACAAGAGGTTTATTGAGAAGATGAGTGATATGAACATGAACAGAGGAAGTAGGATTATGATATGGATGATTGACCAGAGACTTGAAGAAGTTGGTGGTGGTGATTGAGGAATCATCCATGTGGGTGTCTTCCATAAAGCTAGTGGTTCTTGGGAAGAAGATGGTTTGAGTGGAAACCCCTTCTTACCTATGGAATATATAGGGAAAGAGAAAGCTCAAACCTGCAGATGTAACAAGGTGGATCTTGTATGTGAAGGACTGAACTGGTGACATTAAAAAAAGGAGCTTGTCTGAAAATTTGTAATGGAAGTTGGGATGGAGCAGTGATAGGCTTGTCACATTGCATCTGTGCAAAAGTGGCTGCAGGATGGGAAATCAGTCATCCCCCTCCCCCATAAGGCCACATAAATGATTTTGAACACCAAAATGATATAGAGTAGACTTGGTGTCAACTGTAAATTGGAAACTAAAAAATCAGAATTTTTATTGTTTTAATCTTTTATGGAAACAAAAAGGAAACTTATAATTAACATCAGAAAGAGACAGTTGAAATTTCTGGGGCAGATAATGAGGAAGGAGGGCTTGGAAAATCTGATACTCACAGGACATTGATGGTAAGAGGGACATAGGAGAACAATGCATAACATACTTTGAGCTTGAGTAAATGAATGACAGAACAAGTTTTAGGAGAAATAACAGAAAGACAAAATTTATTAAAAGCTACAAAGGAGAGGAAACTGCGGAGAGCCATGATCGCCTACATCCTGTGGGGCCATGGCAGATAAGAAGAATCTTTTATGCAAAGGATAATAAATTTCTTGTACAATGATCATCTCAAATTTATTGGTAATCAAAGATTTTTTTGAATACTTTCAAACTATTTTTCTTGCACTATGAATGTCTTATTTAATTACATGTGTCTTATTCACCCTATACAGTGAGGCAATTCTGAGAAAATTAGAAGGATTCATTATTGGCAGCCGCAATCTTAACAACATATAATATGCAGATAACTCAGGGTTGATAGAAAACATAGAAAGTAAACTACAAAAAAGTATAATTTAAATATCTGGGAAGTATTTTGACAGAGGATGGAAAGTGTGACACTAAAATCCAAAGGTGTATTGGGATAGTGAATGATGCTATCTAAAAGCTAAACAAAGTATTAAGAAACAGGAAAGTTTCCTTAGAAAAAAGAAAAGAGTAGTGAACTGTTACATAATATTAATTCTTCTATAAAGCAGTGAATGCTGGTCAATGCAGATGAAGAAGGAACTTCAAGTAACAGAAATGTAGTTCTGCAGATGGATGAGGAGAATAACATAGACCAAACATTTGATCATTGACAAAGTTTTAGATAAAATGGAAACAAAAAAGAAACTTATATTTAACGTCAGAACGAAATAATTTAAATTTCTAGGCCACGTAATGAGGAAAGAGGGCTTGGAAAATTTGACACTCACAGGACAGATTGAAAGCAAGAGAGATAGGAAAACAACACATAACCTACCTAGCGAGCTTTAGTAAATGGATGGCAGAACAGTGTTTAGGAGAAGTGGCAAAAAAACAAAATTTATTAAGAGCTACAAAGGACATAAATTGTGGAGAGCCATGTATGCCAACATTCTGAAGGTATACAGCACATAGAAATAGACCGTTGTGTACTTCAATGAGATCTGGACATTGGTAAAAAGTATCATCATCAAAAAATGCCTTACTATTGTTGCCTTGTGCCAGACTAACTGGCTTATGGCCCTATCATGTTGAAACATTGCTTTTCATATGATCAATAAAGTTAAGCAACATTGAGCCTTGTCAGTACCTACATGGGTGACAACTTGGGAATACCAGGTACTGCAAGCTTGAATGTGCAGTTGGTATCATGGATAATGGCTAGAAATTGAAAATTAGAAATCTGAGTTCTAATTCCAGTTCAGTCTATAAATATTTGATTAACAGACAAATGGATATCAAGGAAGGGGGCACAATAAACAGATCCCCCACTTTTTGCTATATATTGCATACATTTCTCTATTCAAGAAAAACAGGCTTACATCCATATCACATTGAAACACCGATTCTCATATGATCACTGAAGTTAAGCAATATTGAGCTTGGTCAGTACCTAGATGGAGGACCAGGTCCTGCAAGCTGTAAGGTGGTGTCATGGATAATGGCTAGAAATTGAAAATCAGACAGCTGATTCCAGTTGGGTTTCTTATATACATTTACATACAAATACCCTTGGGAAAGGTATGAATTGAACCCATCTCTTTTGCCTCCAGCTATTGGTTAATTAGTAAGATATATATCAGTTAATCAATATAATCTCACCACCAGATTCTTACAATCTAAAAATATTTTCTAGCTTTAAATAACCTTCAAAAGGTTGATAAGCCATAAAAAATCAGGATTGCCAGATTGAGCTACAAAGAATAAATTGGTTTACATTTGAAATCCAAGTATGACTAAATTTTGAATTGATTTTATTTTCATTTGTAGTGAAATTTGGCTCAGCTTATATTAAAAGTAGCAGTAAAAAGTGCCAAATAGTAATATTCAAAATTTAGTATTGCTAGATTTTAAAAAAATAGCCAATATGTTTTCATATATAGAAAAGAAATATTTAGGATATAATATGGCAGAAAGTGAAAGATTTGTCGATGACTTTTTTTTTTGTAAAAATAAGGTTTCCCCCATTTGTGTCCATGTGTCTGTTCATCAGTGATGATATTAAGTAAGGCTAGCAGATTGGGCTCCATGGAGCAAATTGATCTATATTTAAAATCCTAGTGTGACTAAATTTTGAATGGACTTTCTTCTTATTAGTAGCCCAGGTTAGTTCAGCTTATATTAAAAAGTGACTAGTGACATAATCAAGATAGTGATGTAGATTCTACACTACTTCAAATAAATTTGTATATATTTTTGAAAAAGAAAAGTATTGTACACACACACAAATACACATATTTATATATATATATAATTGTATATATTCATCACAAATTTGTATATATTTTTGTAGAAAAGGCAGAGAGGCAACCTTGAGGCATTTTGATGAGCTCTTTGCTATGGTACCTAGACTTTAGGAATTTAAGTGCAGACTGGCATTAAGATCTCATCAATTTACATTTGAGCTGGCTTGATGTAGCTGTAAATTCTATGCTAAAAATTTCTTTTCTCACACTTCTCACTTGTGGAACTCCCTTCATGCTCCATACTTTCCAGCCAACTTTAATCTGCATAACTTAAATGCAATACCAATCACTATCCCCCAGATTACTCTTCTTTTCCCGCTCATTATTAATGTTTCTGTTCCTAATTCTTCCACAACCAGAAAACCCCTTGTGTCTTAGTGGCTTTACTGCCTTACATAAGGTGAAACTGATTTAAAAAAAAAAAAAGAAATTGTACATACATATATCATGGGTGTATTGTTAGGTTCCCTGTGAAAATGCAGTATTTTGGTGCATATTCGAATTGAATGAAAGATGAGTTTTTATGGTACTTGTATTTAATTGTTAGAATGAATGAATCATGAATCAAACTCGCTAGAAGTAGAATATAGATGATCAACCTCCCCCCACTCCCAATTTGCCCTCGTGCCACAAATAATTTATGTCATTATTAAATAATCACACTACTTCAAACAAAAGGTTAGGAAGGAAATTCCCACTAATACTGGAAAGAGCAATAACAGCTACTGGACTTGAGAAATCTATTTTCCTGAAAAATTGTTTAATTTTTTATAAATTTCAACTGAAAGCAGTACTGTTGCTCAGTCAATCACTGGCAAATGTTTCCTTATAGGGAAATGGCTAATATTACCATTACCAAAGATGCCTATATTAAAAGCGACCACCAAATATCAATATTCAAAATTTAGTATTTCTGAACTTTCCAAATGTAGCCGACCTGGCAATCTGGTCTAGAAGTATGTTTTCTCAAATAGTGAAATGTATAGGATATAATATGGCAAAAAGTAGGGGATCTGTCTGTAACTTTTTTGCTATGCAAAAGTGATCCCTCACTTGTTAATCAAACCATGATGATATTTAAGCAAGATTGCAAGATTGAACTAATAAGTTCAGTTGGTCTATATTTTAAATCACAGTGCTACTAAATTTCAAATTTCTTCTCATTTTTAGCCCAAGTTAACCCAACATATTTTAAAACTAGCCCGCAACATTACAAGTAACAAAATTCAAAATTTACTAATGTTACACTCTGAAAAGTAATAATTCTGGTAATCCTACTTAGATGTATGTTTTTCTTGATTATTTTTATGGATTATCAACCTTTTAAAGGTTATTTAAAGCCATAAAATATTTTTAGATTGTAAGAATTTTTTGGGGATAATAATGATTTACTGATACAAGTCCTACTAATTAACCCATAGCTGGAGGGAGAAGGGGTGGAGTCATACTTTTTCCAAAGCTATTTTTTGTAAGTGGATTTTTGTAACTGGATTCAGATTTCAGCTCTCCAATTACCAATTCTGAACCATTATCCATTACACGCTGCACTTTCAAACTTACAGCACCTGGTATTCCCAAGTCATCACCCATCTAGATACTGACCAGGTTTGATGTTGCTTAACTTCGGTGATCATATGAAAATTGGTGTTTCAACGGGATATGGATGTAAGCCTGTTTTTCTTGAGTAGAGAAATGTATGGGATATAAGGTAAAAAGTGGGGGATCAATTTATAACTTGATTGTCAAAACAAAAGTGACCTATTGTTTAATATCCATTTGTTAATCAAATATTTATATTTAAGTAGGGTTGCCAGATTGAGCTAACAAATTGCAAATTGGTTTACATTTTGAAAGTCTAGTGCTGTTAAATTTTGAATAAACTTTCTTATTAAGCTGCCCATGTTATCCTAGCTTATATTAAAAGTGACCACCAAAAATCACAAGTATCAATCAAAATTCAAAATTTAATAGTGCTCGGATTTTGATATGTAGCCAATTTGGCAATCTTGCCTAGAAGCATGTTTTCTCAAGTAGAGAAATGTCAGGGATCTGTTTATGTCTTGATTGTAAAATGACAGTAATCTCTTACTTAATGTCCACATATCTCTTGATCAAATATTGGAGACCTTTAATCAAGGCTGGCAGATTGGACTACAAGCAGTGAATTGGGGTACTTTTGAAAGCCTGGTGCTACTAAATTTTGAATAGACTTCTCATTTGTAAGCAAAGTTAACCTGGCTTATACTAAAAAGAGACTACCAAAAGCAGTGAATTGGGGTACTTTTGAAAGCCTGGTGCTACTAAATTTTGAATAGACTTCTCATTTGTAAGCAAAGTTAACCTGGCTTATACTAAAAAGAGACTACCAAAAGCAGTGAATTGGGGTACTTTTGAAAGCCTGGTGCTACTAAATTTTGAATAGACTTCTCATTTGTAAGCAAAGTTAACCTGGCTTATACTAAAAAGAGACTACCAAAAGCAGTGAATTGAGGTACTTTTGAAAGCCTGGTGCTACTAAATTTTGAATAGACTTCTCATTTGTAAGCTTAACCTCTTATACTAAAAAGAGACTACCAAAAAGCAGTGAATTAGTTTTTGAACTAAATTTTGAATAGACTTATACAAAAACCTGGCTTATACTAAAAAGAGACTACCAAAAGTAGCAAGCATCAAATTTCAAAATTTAATAGTTCTAGGCTTTCAAATATAGTTTCAAATGTAGTCCAGTTCACACTCCTTCCCCATCTTTTGAACAAGAATAAAAGTTTATCCCTTGCTTCCTGTTTAGTATTAGGTTTCAGTTTCCAGTTCCTCCTTCTGAAGTCTTCTCATTCTTTTTCACCCCCAGTAACACCATGCATTTTAGTGGCATCATTGCTTGCTTGGGGTGAGATGATTAAAAAAAAAAAATCACAATTTTATTAATTTGTATCAGGACCCAGCTACATGCATCTGTATAGGATCACTACCACAGAGTTATTTTTAACAAACTCACCTATCTAGTAGGCCATTACTAGTCTAATGAGTTATCATGATGAGTGTGCTGTTTTTCTTTTTTATACTACTTTATTACTATTCCAATTAGTTATTATACTGGTTTACTTTTTTCCCTCTCTTATCAGCTGTTGAGAGATAACATCATATCAAGTTATTGTACCATTTTATTTTTTTCACTCTCTTATCAGCTGTTGAAATTTATCGCCATATCAAGTGTCCTGCAATGGTCATGGATCTTCTGGAAATCCAGGTAAGTTGAATTAACGTTTTATTAATAAAAACAGAAGATACAAAACTGGGAGAGAACCTGACTGGCAGAGAATTGAACTGCAACCACAAAGAATAATGTTCTATGTCCGGCATTAAATCTGTGAAACATGATCCTCACTGCTTTCAAGAAGAATGCCACTAATTTCAAGAAACAAAATTATTCTTTTTTCCTTTAGTCTTGTACTGATGCAATCTACCATATCTAAAGAGTATAACTGTTTAATATGAGAAAGCAAAAGATTACCAAAGTACCAAAGATTTATATTGAAACATATCTGTGTCTATGATGCATAGACTGACAATAGGGGCTTACATGTTGAAATACTGGTTCTCATCTGATCACCAAAGTTAAGAAACGTCAAACCTGGTCAATACCTAGGTGAATGACTGCTTGGGAATACCAGGTGCTGTAAGTTTGGATATGTCGGTGGTGTAATTAATAACAGCCTGGAATGAGAATTTATAGAGCTGATTTCAAATTTAATTCAGGTTTATTACATTCACATGTGCAAATACCCTTGGAGAAGTATGAATCCAACTCTTCTCCCCTCATTTATTGATTAAATAGTAAGAGTTATATCTGAAAATCATTATCATCTTAAAAAAAAACAAACTATTAATACAATATTCTGTGGTGAACACATGTCAGTACAGATGCAAAAGATGCCCCTGATTACATACGGACATGTCTGTAAACCAGTCACATCAGGGTTTTCCAACAGGACAGCTTGGCATGTTCAGATACAGGCCTCTCTGCAACTTGTTGAGGTCCATGTTTCTGCCAGCATCTCCTGTCAATAAAAACAACAGGAAAACCATCAGTGGGCAAGACTGTGTGTCCCTTGTCATTTTGTTACCCCTTATTTCATTTCCTTTCTTTGCCTATTAACCCCATAGTGGATGGGAGAGTTATCATTTAGCTGTTTCCCCCAACCTCAATACACCCCTGCTGTAGCTTACAACATATTCACTCACAAAAAAAGAATTATTCTTGCAATCAAAAAATATGTTTCAGCTTTAAATAACCTACAAAAGGTTGATAAATCATAAAAAAAAACAAATCAATCTTATTGTAGGATTGGCATCTGGTTGCAAAACTTGTGCTAAGATTTTCATGCTTTAAAATCTAACTAGAATATCATGAAGGTGTAAAATATTTACACATAGGTACATCAATAAATCCATAGCCTAATGATAAAAAAAGAAAACAGCAATACCAAAGCAGTTATTTTTCTACATATTTTTTTTTTTGTCAATGCACTTAAACCAATTCATCTCTATTAATTTTGTAAAACAAACCTTATACAGTGAAAATTTTGTATCAAAATTCATCTAATGACTGTCAGACTATAGAGATTGATTTACTCTTATATAATGTCAATATAAACTGTGATATAAGATAATTTTAAAACAAATGCATCAAAACTTTCATTCACTCTATTGATTTTATTATCTACATTATAGATATAATTATTATTATTAAAAATGACAGGTATTTTGTGTCAATTAATTTTAATGATCGACTTTTCCAAATTATGAATAATCCTTCTCAAACAAGGAGGAAATTCCATCAGAAATTGTCAGTAAAATTTATATATGAAAAAAAAACCCCAAAACACACATCACACCTTGTTTACATCACAACACTCACTAGTTCTATGAAACTAAGCAAGTGTTTCTACCTATCCTAATAATGACTTAAGAAAGTTGAAAGCTTAGACTATATATTTGGTACTTTTCTTCCAAAATGAACTTTGGACAATTTCTGACAGAATTTCCTCTTTGTCTGAGAAGGATCATTCTTAATTTTGAGAAGTTGAACATGAAAATTAACCGGCACAGAATATCTGTTGCTTTTTAATAGTATTTGCCTTAAAGAACATTTTCTGCCTAAATACAGAGTGTGTGTATGTGTGTATATATATATATATATATATATATATATATATATAATGTGTGTGTGTGAAACAGATCATGACATAGCCAAATGTCTTTCCATCTCAATTTAATTTTTGAAAATCATGTGAAACTGGTAAAGCTACTCAAAATAAATAATTTTAAAGACTCCAGTTGCATTTTCAACTTCTTCTTCCTATACATATATATATATATATATATATATATATAGGTACATCAAAATTACAACCACATCTCCACATAGTAAACATACAAATGGTTATTGCTACCTAAATTTTAACAGCTGCCACCTTCCCAACCTAAATATATCAATAATCTATATCCAGTGTTCACACATAAAACTTATCTGTTCTGACTCTGAAAACAATTCAAGCAACTAATCATTTTCTCAATAGAAATGATCCCCAATCAAAAAATCAATCACTAATGCTTCTAAACTATAAAACAAATAAGAAAAATTCCAGAATTTCCATGATTTTTGATTTTAATTACAAGATTCACAAACTATTTCATGTCTTACTAAAAAATTTCTGGTACCTAAATGTTGACCCAACAATTAATAAGATATTTACTGAAACACCACTTAATGGCAGGTGACAACCTCCAAATCTACAATCACTCCTTGCATCTACTAGACTACCAAAATCACCCACTTACCAAGGCAACGTAACATGTAATAAACCCTAATGCCAAGTTTGTAAGCATATTATTACTGATAATATTTTACACCACCTGGAACGCACATAGTAATCCAACCTCCTCCCTTGAGTTGTGATAATTCAAATGTAATATATTTACTTTTTTGTAACAAATAATAAACAAGAAATTATATCAGTGAAATAGGTATGGAAGTCATACTTTAGATACCATGAGAAAACTATGAAAAACATCGTTCACTGTAGATGTACTATTTTCAAACTAACAAGGTCATAGTATTGATAATGTCCTTTTAGTGTCTTTATTTAAATGCCAACAAGAACGCTGAAAATCTGAGTTAAAATACATTTTTAAAATAAATTTGTACATTCTAAGCCTAAATACTCAATGAATACATTTTTTCATAAAACCCTTCTACAAACCTTCTACAACCCTAATTGTGGGAAGTAGCTAACCCAAAACTATTAGATTTCATCAGTAATATAACACATATGCACACCCCCACATGCCAAAAATATGTATATGTACACCCCCACACGCCAAAAATATGTCCAGCTCATTGTATTTTTCATTGAAAAAGGATGCAGATGTTTCCAAAACTTACAATTTTTAATATCTTTTCTCATCATACTTCTGTTTGGTCTAAATGCCTAATAATATACAATAAATATTATTGTTTTATTATTATTGTTTTTTGTCTCTTGAATTTCTTTCATCAGCCTTCCATATATATATATATATATATATATACATACATACACACACACATATATATATATTTTGAACAATAATAAAAAATATTGAAAAATTAAAAATTTCAGACACACTGGATTGTATATTAATATTTTTTTGTTTTATTATCTCAATTAGGTTCCTCGACTAGTTTCAGCCAGCAAGGCCATCATCAGGAAAAAAAAAATTTCTACTTGTTAGTAGTAGTGAACTACAGGAATAAATAACTCTCTGAAGAAAATGAACTAAAATGAATTATTAAATTATATTACATGGAATCCAAATCAATAACTTGCAGACATGGGGACCTGTGCATATTTGCTGCTACTTATACCCAGTGGTGTAACCACAATTGGTGGTTCGTTTCTCAGGATCTTAGGATGATGTTTTAATCAGAGGGCTAACTCTGCCCTGTTCAATGCTGATTGTTGGTCACTGGCCGCTTTGATTCACACTAACACTGCCTACATTGTGTTCTTGATCTCAGAGCAATGGAAGATTGAAGGTCATAGTAATCACAGTGCTGGTTCAAGCCGTAGCAGGTGCTATATTAAGGAAAAAAATTATCTTCACGACAAAAAATAAAACGAAATATTCATGGGGCTAATCTTCAATTGGTTTATATAGCTCTTGATACAACAAAAATTAACCCTTCCTACATCAATCTCTATAGTGACACTGAGTCTTGTCTAAAATTCTGAAGGAGCTGGGTTCAAAGTTCTTTTGAATCAAAAAAGCTGTCTCTCTGAGCTCCCAAAGCCATCCACATATATGTACTTTGGTTGAAAACTAGCATGGGTTGAAGGGGTTTGGGAATTCGGTGATTCCTTAATTTTCACATTAATCCCACAAGGGTTTTTTTATTACCTATTTCTACTTCCTTAATCAATTTTTCAAATTTGGAGAATTATCCACCCTTTTTGGAAGTAGTCACAGGGATTCCTCCTCCCCTAACTCCAACCTGCTTCACTTCACATCTTGCACCAACACTTCACACAGGTAGCACTAAATTCTGTCTCCTTCCTTCTTGGTATTCTTAGCTCATCTTTCAGGGGTGGTATAACTGTTTTTGTGACAGATCTAATTTTTAAAATGCATAAGTGAAAGGGCATACTTTATTCTCATCATTAATCTTAATTCTCCTTCCTTTCCAGGGCAACGATAAAATTATCTATCCATTCTGAGATTTAATTGTTCACTGAAAACACTAATTAGACCACTGCTTTCTCATTTAGCCTTTCAAGCAAGAGATAAAATTATTTCCCAATTTGTTTTTGTCAATAAAAATATATTTGTTTACCTAAATTCTCAAACAAGAAACAAAGCTGTTCTTCATCTGTAGGCTGATCACTGTCTTAGCAAAGACACAAACCAGACCTCCTGCCTGTCATGACTGGATCAATTTTTATTGACCCTCCCAATGGGTTTGTTCCATTTTCATTTCTCACTTCATTTTCGTCATCAAAAATAATTCCCATCTGTCTTTCTTCTCATTAACGATATGTTTTTCTAATTTCTCAGGAAAGAGATAAAGCCATTTCCCAATTTGTTTTACCCACATGCCAGATTTTCAATAGATAAAAAAAGTAAACTCTTGGTGCATCATTCCAATTTGTAGAGGGAAGAGACAATCCAGATGGCCCTTATTTCATGTCCACATTACAGGGGAAAATGTCTTCCGTTCTCTATCATTCTATCTTCCACAAATCTTAACAAATTTATTGTACGGGAACCAGTGTTTCATTGTGATGTGACTGTAACCTGTTTACCTATAGACTCAAGTACAGGTATGACAAATGTCTACATATAGACTTGAGTATAAAATATGACAAATGTCTACATATTGACTCAAATATAAAACATGGCCAAAGTCTGCATATAAACTCAAGTATAAAACATGGCCAATGTCTGTCTATATATTTAAGTGTAATAAAAATCAAATTTAAACATTAAATAACACAACAAGGGTTGCTATTTTGTAAAATCCAATGCAACCAATAAATGAACACTTTCCTATACTTAACACATATCAACAGACAGTTTAACATCTCAGTCAATCACTGCTTTTCTTTTAAAAATTTATTATTACTGTTCTCTCAGACAATTATGCATTTATTATATTTCAGAATATGGAGGAATGGAATTTGGTGATTGGCTATATTGCAATGTTCTTAAAAGATTTCAATCTATCCCAGGAGTCTTTCTTGAATTCTTCAAAACCAAAAGAGGCCCTTGAGGTAAGAATAATTTAATTCTCTTCTAATTTGTTTATTTAGAGTTTCAATACTTTTAAGACATATACACACTTCCCACTTGTAAAGTTCTTAAAGGTAAAACAGAATTGTTTGTTTCTTTTTAGAATCCAAGTTGGGAATAAAAGTTTTTAACATTTCCCAGCTGTTTACCTCTCTTTATTTAGAAATTTATTCAGTCTATCACATTTCTAAGATTACTTTTGTGGCTCTCTACAACTTCCTAACATAAACCACATCACTTGAGTACTACCAATAGTGACAAAAACAAAAATGGATAACACATGTAACTCAAAGAAAAAGTGACATAATCAAGATGTTAAGTGTAATAATGAACAGTATTAAAGAAGTACTTTAATGAAAACTCATAATCAGAGTGGCCCATGACGGGCTGAGAGCAAATAAGAATACAGAAAATACAAGTAAAAGAGGATATGTATATACACTCCCATTTGTCAGTTGAGCACTTTGGAATGCTAAGCTCTTTGTGATGAATAGAGCATTCAGGCAGCTGATAATGCTTATATCATGTATATAATGTGTTAAAAATTCCCTTTCTCTGTAGTGTGCACTGATAGTCAAGAGTTAAGAGTCTCTGACCAATGTCAAATCAGTCAAGATTTGATCCCAACTTGAAGCAATCATGTCTAGCCACAATGAAGAGCTGTGATACAATAAAACAGTCTGTCTGTGGATGACTATATATATATATATATATATATATAATAATAATCGACTCTCCCGCCGAGGTATGAGGGTCAAGCAGATCAGTTTCCAGGAAACCGACAGCCCGACACCGGCACATGAGATTTGATTATAGTGGTGAAGGCCTCGTGCAGGACCATCCACACTTTTTGAAAGGACGAATACAGACCTGGTGCACCAAATGCCACAGGGTTCCCAAACGACCCTCCGCAGGTTTTGAATTCAGAGTTGTCCTTCTTCTAGACCAGTTGCCATCCAAGGCTATAGAACCCAGTCTGTCCTGCTATTTTACCCATAGCTGGAGGGAGAGGAAGAGGATTCATACCTTTCCCAAGCGTATTAGCACGTAAGTGAATGTAATGGATTCGACTGGAATTTGAACTCGGCTCTGCGATTCCTCAATCCAAGCCGCTATCCATTACTCCACCGTGCCTCCTCTATATATATATATATATACACACACACATACTCACATACACACACACACACACACACATATATAACTCAGAACTTGAATTCTGGATGATTGCTTTCGCCTCAATTACATTTTCTTAGTTCGGGTATTGGTTTTTTCATTTTGTTATGATGTTGAATTGGGTTAATAAAGACAAACGCCAAATAACACGTAACAAATAAAAGGGGTTTATTCGGTTGGTAAGTAGGTATAGAAATCGCCTGAGTAGTCTATAACTAGCTCAGCCAAGAACTTCTCCGACTCTGTCTGTCTTTTGACATGCCGCTATTTAACGTCTTTGTTTGTAGACAAGTTCATCTTCAAGAGGGGTGGTAGGTTTCCTACACAACACATTTACAAGCCAAAACACCTAAGGTTTTTCCAGACAAGTATAATTACTTATATTTATATTATTATTATTATCATTATTATATATATATATATATATATAGTGCAGCAAAAAGTGGATGATTCCAGTAGAGCCCTAATCGAGGGAAGTTAATGCTTATGACATTCTTCCCCTTCTTTTTTTTTTTTTATGTTCTGGATATCTTAACAGTTTTCTTTGATTCCTCAAAGATCGTCTTACTGTCAGTGAATATTCAGGAATCAGAGTAGGATGTTGATCCTCAGCATTAGATGGCACTGGCAAATATATATCAGGGATATTCAATGGTTTAGAATGGATATCAGACTGAGGTTCCTCCATTTCTGTTGTGCTCTTTTCCACAAGAGTAACTTATTCTCTTATTTTTGGTTCTCCCTGATCATATTTGTTCCCAACACAAGGCAAATCATGCACAGATAAAGTAAACTCATGTCCGTCATTAAATCTTACATGGGCATATTGTGGATTGGTTTCTAACAGCTGAACCTTGTCGACTAAAAGTTTAACTTATTAGCACAGACATTACAATGTAAGTGAACCGGACAAAGGTCTGCTAGCCATCTGGACAAGGAATGACCACAAGATGACCAGCATTGATATGAAAATATTCTTTCATGGGGTGTAGTATTTGTCGTGGTACAGAGTAGAGATCTTATGGAATTGCAGTACTGTGGTTAGAACAACTTCCTCGGGAGATTCTTGTAGATTTCTCGAAACCATGCTTCCAGATAATTTCATTGTATTGTTCACACTGACCATTCCCTTGGAGTTTGTAAGGGGTTTTTCGACTTATTGCTATACTCAAATCACTGAAGTACTCATGCAGTTCCTTACATAGAAATGAGGAACCCCAGTCAGAGCAGATGCAGGAAGGAGTCCTGAGCACAGTGAAAATCTTGAGTTAAGCATTTAATTACTACACCAGTTGTCATATTGGGGAAAGCAAAAGAAAACCAAGAGTACTCGTCTATTACAGTTAAAATATAATAGTTCTACGAATTAGAAGGAAGAGATTCCTTAAAATCTATGCTGATTCTTTCCATTGGTTAAGTGTATGGTGGTGGAACAAAGAAGAAACAATGAAAGTTTATTGAAATAAACAATTGTATTAATGTAAAAAACAACAAATGATAAATCTGTGTAAATATCTTTTTTTGAAAAAAGGAGATAAGTGTAATAGCACAAGGCATCTGCAGAGGTGTACAGAAGGATAGTGAGGATTAGTTGTGACTTATTGGGTCAACAGCTTTTGGTGAGCTGTCTCTTAGACAGAAGTCACTTTCCAACAAAATCTGTGAACTCAAGCCAAGATGCTATCCAACTGGCAAAAATGTCTCTTTCTTTTTATGTCCTTTCTTAGACCTCAATCAGCCCCAGTTTTTATTCTGTTTCTTTAAGTGGGAGAGGGTGCTATTGGGTGAAAATTCTGGTATTGCTTATTTTTTCTTTGGGTGTGCGAGTAAAATTGGAAGGTATGTGTAGAGCCTTGCACAGCTGATAAAATTTTAGTTCAGTTTTGGGCATTTGGAGCATTCACATCTGACCATTGGTAGAAATTAGTGTTGCATGAATTAAAAGAATGTAACATTGTATAGCCTTTATCAAGCAAACTTTTTCAGGTTTGTAAAAATGCAGTTTCCATCTTGAACTAACAGGACAGTCAGTGCATATTTTTTTACATCTGTAGAGTAAGGTAGATTCCTTATTTATATAGTGGGCTGATCTGATTATACCAAAGTGACAAAGACAATCATGGAGCTCATATAACTTTTCTTTGTGTAGGATAGTGCCATAATGAGCCCGTGTGAGTGATCAGCAGGTATTAAACATAAAATTCATTGCCTACTGGTCCATAATGATGGTAAAGTGTCAACCAGATAAATAGTAAGACTACCTTTTTACAGTTTCTATAATAGCTGAAGCCTCCTCCAGGAGTCGAGTTGAGTGAATCTATTAATAGTTCTTCTATAATTCACAATTTACCTCTTTTTATGCCATTCATTATCAACAATTAAAATTTGGGCTCATCAAAGAGAGATGCTTTCCTAAATTATTCTATCTCTTAGCATTTTATTAACCTCAGTTTTAATAAAGTGTTCATCAGCAGTTCTAAATCACCTAGATTTCATAGAAATAGGTTTGCAGTTAGAATCGAGATTTGAAAATAATGGAAGTATATTTACCATCAAAGATGGTAAGCTGCAAGCAGTTGAACTGAAAATAGATAGGCTTTCTTAGGAACGCCAAATGCAAAAGATACACTAGAATGTTGGTTCATGAAGTCTTGCCAAAGAATTACATTACTACAAAGATTCGGAAGGACACAAAGTATGACATTCAAATACCACTCACCTAATAAATTTACATTGACAGTACACTGCCCTTTTATTAAAGTGTTGAGGTACAATGAAGCCATGGACAAATTCCCAACTGCAAGTTTTATTTTTAACTGGTGCCTTTTCACATAGTCAAGCGAAATAAAGGACCCAGACCTACCAGTGTCTATTAGAGCAAATTGCTTCATTTTTATCAATCAATACATACACCATATCCTGTTTTAATAAACTAGGTTGTGTAGTGATTGCCAATGTAAAGATTGAGTAAGTGAGGTGGCCAAAGTACCAACCAACCAAAATACTTCAGTAAAGGTACCCCTTTTTTCTGCATTTGTGATATGTGGCCTCTCTGACTGGGTACACTTTACAACTATGACATGATCCACTGCAAAAATAACATTTAGCGCTTGTTAAAGTGCACGCATCCCTGACAAATTTGTTTTCTGATGCTATGGCTGCTGCAGTTGGTGACAAAGGATGTGAATATGATTCAGATTTTTTTGCTGCTAGGCATAGAGCTCTGCCTTGATTAAGAGCTGTGTGTAAATCAAGGATATTGTTTTCTAAAAGACGCTGTCAAATGGAATTAAAGTGAAAGTCGATAACGAACGCATTTCTAATGCAGTTGTCTGTTTTGAGCAGCGTTATCCACTTTGAAACTGCATTCTTTAGCTAGTAGTTGTAACCTCTGAATATACTCATCAATATCTTCATCATATCTTTGTCCACATGTTTCTAGAACATGTCTGGTGAAGATTTTGTTTGTGGGTTTTACATATGAAGCTATTTACAGCAGATTTGAAAGTAGCATTGTAGTGTTCATTCCTGTGTCCATGCTGTCTATATCTACATGGACTCTATCTTCAATAATGAGCACTCTTCCTCCTTAAATATAGCAAATTTAAGACTATATACCACATGATACACAAGTATCATGTGACTTTTGAAAACCTAATTTTGAAGTTAATTTAACTACAATAAATGGATATATAGGATGGTCAACAGCATAGCCAGGGACATCAGTACATACACTAATTTTATACCTTGTGTATAATGTGACCCCCTTAAAATTAACTTCAAAATTAGATCTTCAAAAATTACATTATACAAAAGTATATACAGTGTGTTATATAGGAAAAGGAAGTTGAAAATGTAGCCGTACTCTTTAAGAATATTTAGAGTAACTTTACCAGTTTCACAGTTTTCTGATTTTCAAAAGTTGAGATGGAGAGACATGTGACTATGCTATGATATGTTTTGCATGTAACTGGAATTGGAGAATGCTTTATGAATATATATAATAGTGTAGTGATGCATCATGTTATATTTCTGTTAAATCAGAATGCATAAAATGAAGTTTTTTCTGTATAATATTTTTGGGGTGATAGAACAAACATTTTAATATTAAAGTATGCTTTGGTAAAGTCTTTTTTGAATTCCTTATTCCTCTGAATTGCATTTGTTTGCAATTATAAGAAATAACTTTTATATTTTGTTGAAAAAATCAATTGAATTGCTTATTTGAGTTCAATAGATTCTTCACTGATATTGCATTTAGTTCCATTTATCTATAAATCTATCTTTGATTTTTAGTCTAACAATAATCCATCTTTAAATATTTGTTTGTATTATTTTTATAAGTCTGAATATTTTGTATGCAGTATAATTTTTATAAATAAAATATTTGACATAATGTCTTTCTGGAAATCTCCCTTGTTTCCTGTTTAGGATTGCGTTTCTGATTCCCTCTAAAGCACTGTTTCTCAACTTTTTTAATCAACGTCACACCTAGGAGCAAATGAAAATATCACTGCACACGTAGTAAAATTTGTAAAGGGTATACATTTAAATGTTATGAAATAAAACCATAGATTTAAAAAAAAATACATACACAAATATAAACTTACTTTATTTCAATGTTTCTATTCAACTATTTGTGCCAGCAGGGCATACGCTAATTTTATATCTCATGTATGATCTGACTCCCTTAAAAGTAGCTTCAAAATTAGGCCTGGTATTTTTTTGTGATTTCTTTAATGTTTGGTCAAATGTGCAATAAGCAGACCCTTATTTCTTCTTCAGTTGAGCGTAGCCTTTCTTGCGTCTTATTTTTGATGTTATTTAGGGTTGAGAAGCTTAATTCACATAAATAAGAAGTAGAAAATTGCAATAAAACTGATGAAGCCTTTAATGTGGGATAAAAAGTATTCATTTATCAAATATTAATACTGTACCATTACTACTTTCATGCATACACATATATATGTATGCTGTGACACTATTTCACAGCACGCTTAAGAGCATCGTGTAGCACACGAGTGTGCTATTTCACAGTGGTTGAGAATCACTGCTCTAAAGTTTTTTCCTTCTCTTTCACTTCCATTGGCCCCTTGTATCTTGGTGGTGCCTCTTATTCTGTAACCCTCTATCTTGATTGGCTCTTGGGTCTTATGCAGGCTGAACATCATTGTAAACCTAGGCATTTGTTAGAATATTTCTTACTAGTTTCTTTTATTTTCAGTTTGCCTTTAAATGGTGTGTCATAAAGCCTGCTTAGTGGACTGCATTATTGCTTTTATGTCACTGATACGTGTGCAAGCCAAGGTCAAAGGCCAGGATTTTGAATGCTGATTTTCAAGACAAACAGGTTATCTCTACTTGAAAGACTGGTGCAATACAATCTTCATTCTGTATTTACCCCTGTTCTGTACCAGGCTCCAATTAGTAAATCTTGAAATACAAGTCAGACAACGTTTTTTTTATTTTGTCTGGACCACTAATTTATAAGAAGCCATGGAAACATTAGAATTTTATTTTTTGTAGTACTTAATAATAGTTAAGATATTTTGATGTCTTTCAAGATAGTGGCATAGTCGATATAGGAGTTGGTTAAATGTATGTTACTGTCATGAGTTCAATCCCCAGATCAGGCAATGAAACACAGGTTCAGCAAGAACATACAATAACTGGTATCACAGAGACAAACTAACACAATAATCAGCAGATATCCCATATCAGCCAAACAACAGATACCTGATAATGGCCAGGGGGTACTTGGCTGAAACATTGTTCATAATAACATCTATAACAGCCAAAATTAGAACAATATTTTGAAATAAAGTATATTGACTCATCTCAAAAATGAAATACTAAATCATGAAAAGCAATATGATCCTGCCATAATAACCAAATGTCAAAACCATCTGACATTGAATATAAAGACTCCATAATTACACCACTGATGTCCTTTGAGATGGTGACATAGTGGATGTAGGAGTGGGTTAAAATGCGTTTCTGCCATCTAGTGGTTGTGAGTTCAATCCCTCAATCAGGTAGTGAAATATTGATCCACCAGGAACTAATAATAACTAGCAACACAAACATAGTAACCAACAGCTAAAAATAGTAATCACCTGATATTAACCAGTGAGTACTAGGCCAAGATATATATGTCTATAACATCTGTAGCAGCCAAGATGAGAACAATAGTACAAAATAATTTACATATACTTTGAGATAGTCAATCTGTTTCCATTTGGTAATTGGCAGCATTTGGTAGCCTAAAATGTTTGGCCTGTCTTTGTTGTTAGTGTTTAGCAACAGCTTTTACTTTTGATAGTGACAGATATATCAGGATGCATTACAAAGATGTAAATTTAGTTTATTTTGTTATGTTTCTAATATTGAAGATAGAAGCAAATAGATTTTATGCTTTTCTATTTTAGAGAAAAAAAAAGGTAAAAAAGAAAGAGCTGTGCTATTTATGGAGAAGGTTCCGTGAGTGTTCAAGTGTGTCAAAAGTGGTTTGCAAAGTTTCATATCAAAGATTTCTTGCTGAATGTTGGTTAGATTTGACTGATTTTACATGTCAATTCTTATCAGTTTATTTAATGTCAAATTTTGTATGGATCAAACTCCCTACTCAGTAGTAATTATCAACTGGACTAGCCTCATTAGACATTACTTGCTGCTGACACACCCTTCATAGTTGGGTAGATGAGTGGAGATTAATACTGATTAAATGAAGATATTACTAGAGAATAATCAACATTATAAATTGCAGAAGGTAGTTAACATACTCTAAATATCCAAATCATGATTTTGTTGCTTGCATGTGAAGCAGTTGTTATTAAAAAGAAGCAGTATATTCAGTGGGTCTTTTTTTTATTGACCAAGAAATGGGTAAAAAGCAAACCTATGGATGACGGTTGATATTGTTTTTCATATATAGGCTGAGAAAAAGATAGAAATTTAAAAAACAATAGCTAATTTTTGTCCCATTCTATAGGTATGCCTGAGAGAGACCCCCACAAAAGTGTAACATATTACTCACCAAATAACAAAATATTATAATCAGAATCCTTTTTTTGTATAGTTCATGATTACTCTTGCTCTAAGTTGAGCAATGTCAAGCCTGTTTTGTACTTAGATAGGAGATAGCTTGGGAACACTGAGTACTGTAAGTGACTTTCTACAGTCTGAAATATATTTCTGCTTTAAATAACCTTTAAAGGGTTGATAAACCAGAAAAAAAAATCAAGTCTGACATTTTATCTGATGACAACTATTCAGAACTTTGGATATATGATCAAATGATATCTCCTTGAAAAGTTATCTTATGTTGCTTATCAAAATAAATTGTTTAAGAAGAGTTCTTATTGTTAAAGCATTCAGATTTTAATCTTTTATAAACATCAGTGCATCAGTTATTTTGATGGTTGTTACTTTCCTAAAATATTAGTTTCCTTTTTCAGATGAGGAAAAACCTATTACAGTGGGACAGTGCTCTTCAGTTGGCCAAAGTTCTACACCCAGAAAGCATTCCATCCATATCAAGGGAATATGCTGAAGAATTGGAACTAACTGGATCCTTTATGGAAGCCCTGAATCATTATGAACAAGGGATTACCAAACTTGAAAGTGAAGAAGAACATGACAAAATTTGTGCTGGTGGAGTGGCTCGAATGTCCATTCGTATGGGAGATATTAGAAGGTTAGTGGGAAGTTATATATCTCTGATGACATTGTTTTCTATTTAGCTGTCTTCAACTTGAACAAGGAGGTGCAGATGGTGTAACAATTATTCAAACTGGAAGCAAATCTGACATACTAAGTTCAATTCCTTCTTGACTCTGTTTTGTTTGCTTCGCACTAATACCCTTGGAAAAGGATTGTATCTATCTTACTCCAATAGGGCAGACTGGCCTCTCTTGTTTTGAGGTGGCAACCAGTCTAGGAGAAGAAAAACTCTGGATTCCAAACCAGCCTGAAGAGGAATGGACTCCCATCAGGCTATCTTGTCTAAGACACATCACTGTTCCTATGGTGATTTTCTAAGCATAGCTTAGATGTGGCACAAAGCCAAAAGTGTGGGGCATCTGGTGAAGATTGAAGTCACTATCCAGTTGTAATTGATTTAATGAGACAAGCTTGTTAACCATTACACCACATTGAAGTGACCAAACATTACTGCTGCTATAGGAGAGTCATGATTTCTGAGAAGCATGATGGTTGTCCAAACTTTCAGTTGAAGTCAATTCAGTTCTGGGAAGTCTCCAAATTGCTTGGAACTCTGTCAATTGATTTGTGCGGTTGAACCTCACCAGGAATCTCTTACAACAGTTTTGTATTTATTCCTTTAATTGTATTACTTTCAGGAATAAGATCTGTAAAATGGTAGAGTGCTACAACAGAGATTTACCTACACATCATTTCATTTGCATTGATTTAGGCCACCTCGGGCTGGTGTAATGGTTAACAAGCTTGTCTCACTAGAACAATTATGACTGAGTAGTGAGTTTGATCCTCACTGTGAGCCCCTTATACTTTAGGCCTTGTGCTACATCTAAACTAGGCTTAGAAAATCACTTTGTGGGCACTTTGACATAGTGTAATGGTTAGCAAGCTTGTCTCACTAGAACAATTATGACTGAATAGTTAGCTTGATCCTCACTGTGAGCCCCCTATACTTTAGGCTTTGTGCCACATCTAAACTAGGCTTAGAAAATCGCTTTGTGGGCACTTTGACATAGTGCAATGGTTAACAAGCTTGTCTCACTGAATCATTTACTACTGAATACAGTTAGATCCTCACCGAGTTCCCCATGCTTTCGGCCTCATGCTATATCAAAGGTATTCTTAGAAAATAACCATTTAATTCACATTAACTAAACATTGTGTTTGGCCCACCCATTGAGAAAAGCAATGGAAATTTCTGTAATTCTGAGCCATTATTTTTAAATATTTGAAATAGCTGATTAAAAATCAAATTTAATTCTGAAAAATTTTAGAAACTTTTTTCTGATAGCATTTTTAAGGTTTTCTCCTGTTAATTCTTTAATTTCACTTGTTTTGGTAGAAAAAAAATCTATTTTAGTCTAAAATTGACATCTGGTTACCTCCTCTGACCTTCAAATCCAGCACCATCTATTCTATCTTCTTTCCCCAGTTACCCCCACTCATAGTTTAAAATAAAACTAAAAATGTAATTGTTTGTAATACAAACGATAAAGGTCACCAAATAATTCTTCCTCCAAGCCTTCCTGTGGCCACAGGGCTTAAATTTGACCTCATCCATCTTGGCATTTGTGAGGTCAAAAAAATGTTTGTGATTCATAGCCAACTCAGTATATCTCTCTGTCTGTAAGAAATTTCTTAATTTGTCTATTCTATGTTCTTTGATGACTTCTGGTATCCTTGGATGACCTCACAGCATGACTTTAGTTCTTATAACTATCTATGCAAAAAAAAAAAAAAAAAAAAAACTGGCTCTCTGGGACTTTCTGTTAATATGTCATGTTGAACAAGTTTTGCTGGGAAATCAACACCTAAGGAAAAACAAACAAAAGAAAAAAAGAACCTAAACTTGTATAAATGTTAATCTTATTATCAAAATTTTTGTATCTTCAGTTTTAAGATATATTGTTTACTCTCTTGAGATATTTGTGGAAAATTGCTTACTCGTAAAAAAAAAAAAAATGACTATCAATTACATTAAAAAATTTTAAAGCAAAAACACCTTTGTTTGAAAAATTTATCAAAATCAGAGAATTATGCTAAAAACATTTTTAGTACTTATTAATACAAAGCATAGGGTTTTTATCGAAGAAGTTTCTTGTCCAAATTTTGTAAACAAAAAAATCTGTGCGTACAGCAGCAATAGAAAATGAAATGAAATAAAAGTTGAACATTGCTCAAACAACAAGTGCTAGAAAGAGACATTGATGAGCTGTAAAATGGCAGGGTGCTACAACAGTCATTCACTTACACATCTCTTCATTTGCATTTGATTAAACATTGTACTTGGCCCACCAACAGCAAATTCAAGTTACATGTTTTAGAAATTTTACAGATTTAAAAAATCATTTTACAAGTATTTCTGATATGTGCTTTGTTGAATTCACAAACATTAATCTATAGACAAGAATATGAATAAATTTGTTTATATATATATATATATATATATATATATATATATATATATACACTGCATGCCAAATGATTATCGAGATAACTTTTTTCTAATATTTCAAAAACTGTCCAATCAATTCACACAAAATTTTCACACAATGTTGGCAACACTGACCTGCGCAATCACTGAAATTTTCGTACTGATCTGTGCAATGTAAACAAATTGGCGCCATATTTGTTATCAGCACGGTGATTTGAGAGTGCCAAATTATTAGAAAGGTTTAGTAAAATTCCCAGAATTGAGCAAACAAAACATTTATTAATGTTGCACATGAATGTTTATGATCAAAAGAGCCTAATAAATAAGATAATCAAACAAATAATAATAGATACAAACAAAGGCACAGTTATAAACAAATTAATAGGGAATGTGCTTTCCCAGTTTTGAAATTACTTGAAGAAGTCTACGATCCATAGAATTTGTTAATTGTAGGATGTCATCTGCTGTAATGATGCGAGATATGTCAAGAATTGCTTTCTACAACTCAGCGTTGCTCCTGAATTGTCATCCATTGGCATACAGTCTTCGCTTCATGATGCTCCAAAGGTTTTCGATTGGGTTCAAATCCGGAGAATTTGCTGGCCACTTCATTTTTCGAGGTCCATCGAAGCCTAACTGTTTCAAATATTCAGTAGTCTTGTGAGCAGCATGTGAGGGAGCATTATCTTGCAGAAAAACAATGGATCTTCTGAAGGCAACTCTTTGCCTTTTCATCCACGGTTCAAGATGCTCCTTCAAAAACGCTATGTATGCATCAGCAGTCATTTTGATGCCATCTGGTACTCTCCATGGGCCCACTAATGTTTTTCCAATAATACCACCCCAGATCATTATGCCTCCACCACCTTGTTGGCATCTCAAATGCTGATAGCGATTCTGTCTATTCATTACCCAGCCTTTGCACCATCTATCTGGCCCAACAAGTGTTGCTCGAGTTTTGTCTGTGGACAAAACTTTAGAGAAGTCAATCTTCATATTGTCCTCAGCCCATTTCAATCGATTTTGAATGTGATTTCTCGTCAACGGAGGCTTCGATACAGGTTTGACTGTTGTTGCTATTTCCCTCAGATACCGACATCGAGTACTTTTAGACACAGTAGGAACCCCAATGCAACTGAAAAGCTCTTGACTGGTAAGTCCGGGGTCCTTCATGGCCTCTCGTTTAAGTCGTGACATGAAATGACGTGAAATAACCTTCAGCTTGCCTTTATCTGCCCTTTTGCGTACTTGTGTAGGGTCGGCGTTGAACTTTTTTTTTGATGACACCTCCCTATCATTTTAGAAATTTCTCGGGTAGAGTTACCTTTTGAGAGTTCTGAGGTGATAGTTTTCTTTTCAGCATCACTTAAACTGCTTTTACGGCCCATCTTTTCACTAAATTCTTACACTTTTCTAATAATTTGGCACTCTCAAATTACAGTGCTGGTAACAAATATGGCGCCAGTTTGTTTCCATTGTGCAGATCAGTATGAAAATTTCAGTGATTGTGCAGGTCTGTGTTGCCAACATTGTGTGAAAATTTTGTGTGAATTGATTAAAGGGTT